ACGCCCTCGTCACACACGTAAGCTCTTGATAGGCCCCTCAAAGTAGCGCTTTCTTGACACCAGGGAGTCTACATGGCTATTTTTTTAGGCGACTCATAAATCGCTCCTGAAGCATGTAAACTCTTGATAGGCCCGTTAGTATAGCGATTTCTCAGTTTACATGGATTCAGGCTGAAGGCTCTTCTCATCACCAGCATCAGCTCGCTGCCTCTCTACGCCCTCGTCACACATGTAAGGGCTTCGTAGGAGGAGCTAATACAAATGGAGTTTGAACTGATTGATTAGAATAGAAGGCACTAGGCCTTAAGTACAAACAAGGTTGGGTTGAGCAAAGCTAGGAAAAGGATGGGATGGGAATCCAAACAAATCTCCAATGGTGAGTTGGCAGATTTGTTGGATTACGGGGGAATCCCAACCGGATAGGGTTGGGATTACAAATCTACACCCACATGGTCACACCTGGTCACACTTGGTCACACTTGGTCACACTTGGTCACACTTGATCGCGCTTGGTCACGCTTTGTCACGCTTAGTCACGCTTGATCACGTTTGGTCACACGTGGTCACACTTGGTCACACATGGTCACACTTGGTCACACTTGGTCACGCTTGGTCACGCTTGGTCACGCTTGGTCACGCTTGGTCACGCTTGGTCACACGTGGTCACATTTGGTCACGCTTGGTCACGCTTGGTCACGCTTGGTCACGCTTGGTCACGCTTGATCACGCTTGGTCACACTTGGTCACGCTTGGTCACGCTTAGTTACACGTGGTCATACTTGGTCACACTTGGTCACACTTGGTCACACGTGGTCACACTTGGTCACACTTGGTCACACGTGGTCACACGTGGTCACACTTGGTCACACTTGGTCACACTTGGACACACTTGGTCACACTTGGTCACACTTGGTCCCATTTGGTCACACTTGGTCACACTTGGGCACACTTGAGCACACTTGGTCACACTTTGTCACACTTGGTCACGCTTGGTCACATTTTGTCACACTTGGTCACACGTGGTCAAACTTGGTCAAACCTTGTCACGCTTGGTCACGCTTGGTCACGCTTCGTCACACTTGGTCACACTTGTTCACACTTGGTCACGCTTGGTCACACTTGGGCACTCTTGGTCACACTTGGTCACACTTGGTCACACGTGGTAACACGTGGTCACACTTGGTCACACTTGGTCACACGTGGTCACACTTGGTCACACTTGGTCCCACTTGGTCCCACGTGGTCACACGTGGTTACACTTGGTCCCACTTGGTCACACTTGGCCACACTTGGTCACACGTGGTCACACTTGGTCACACTTGGTCACGTTTGGTCACACTTGGTCCCGCTTGGTCACACTTGGTCACGCTTAGTCACGCTTGATCACGCTTGGTCACACTTCATCACACGTGGTCACACTTGGTCACACTTGGTCACACGTGGTCACACTTTGTCACACTTGGTCACGCGTGGTCACACTTGGTCACACTTGGTCACACGTGGTCACACTTGATCACACATGGTCACACTTGGTCACACTTTGTCACGCTTGGTCACTCCCGCTTGGTCCCGCTTGGTCACACTTGGTCACGCTTGGTCACGCTTGGTCTCGCTTGGTCACGCTTCGTCTCGCTTCGTCACACTTGGTCACACTTGGTCACACTTGGTCACACTTGGTCACACTTGGTCACACTTGGTCACACGCGGTCACACCTGTTCACACTTGGTCACACTTGGTCACGCTTGGTCACGCTTGATCACACTTAGTCACGCTTGATCACGCTTGGTCACACGTGGTCACACTTGGTCACACATGGTCACACTTGGTCACACTTGGTCACGCTTGGTCACTCCTGCTTGGTCCTGCTTGGTCTCACTTGGTCACGCTTGGTCACTCCCGCTTGGTCCCGCTTGGTCCCGCTTGGTCACTCTTGGTCACGCTTGGTCACGCTTGGTCACGCTTGGTCACGCTTGGTCACGCTTGGTCACACGTGGTCACACGTGGTCACACGTGGTCACACTTGGTCACCCTTGGTCACACGTGGTCACACCTAGTCACACTTGGTCACACTTGGTCACACTTGGTCACACTTGGGCACACTTGGGCACACTTGGTCACACGTGGTCACACGCGGTCACCTTTGGTCACACTTGGTCACACGTAGTCTCACTTGGTCATACTTGGTCACACTTGGTCACGCTTGGTCACGCTTGGTCACACGGTCACACTTGCGCGACACTTGGTCACACTTGGGCCACACTTGGTCACACTTGGGGACACTTGTGCACACTTGGTCACACATGGTCACACGTGGTCACACTTGGTCACACTTGGTCACACATGGTCACACTTGAGGTCATTCACGCAGCAGAATTTGATTTTGAAATTGTGGAAGTCTGAAATGCGGAAAAATGCGATTTCGGCAATAAGAGCCCGGATTCTGGTCTGCTGCTCTGCTTCGCCGCTGCCCCTTTTCCGCTTCTCTGCTGCGCCGCTGCCCCTTTTCCGCTTCTCTGCTGCGCCGCTGACCTGTTCTGCTGCGCCGCTGAACCTGTTCTGCTGCGCCGCTGAAACCTGCTCTGCTGCGCCGCTGAAACCTGTTTGAAGTTAAGAAGTTGAGAAATTGGCCACGAAAATTATAAAATTCCAGAAGCTTCCTATGAAGGAAGTTGAAGAGGGAATTTGTCACCGTTGAAATCGGAAATGCGCGATGCAGGAAGGCGAATGCGCTCTTGACGGGCGCGAAGATGTGAAGTCAGAAAACGCTAAGCGTAGGAGCCGGAAGCCGAAATAGGCATAACTTAGAGGAAGAGAACCATCGTGACGCCAAGGATCGGATTCCGCGTGAGCGGAATTTACTAGCTCGATATCATGATAGAAATGGAGCTTGAACCGATTGATTGGAATACAAAGCACTAGGCCTTAAAGCAGCAGTATACATTTGGCAGGGAAAGTGCCAAAAGTTTATAAATGGTACATGGTGGGGGCGAAATTGTGGGGCACACTGTAAAACCCTGAACCCCGCTATCAAATGTATACTGCCGCTTTAAGTACAAACAAGGTTGGGTTGAGCAAAGCTAAGGAAAGGATGGGATGGGAATCCAAGCAAATTTCCAATGGTGAGTTGGCAGATTTGTTGGAATACGGGGGAATCCCAACCGGATAGGGTTGGGATTACAAATCTACACCCAACCCACACTAAACCCTAAAGCATATAAAGTAGAGTACACAAAATGTTGACAGCCTATTTCTAGCAGGAGCCTCGTGACATGTGCAAGTTCTCTATTTATACGTGCTACGCTTCAAAATGGAAAGAATATGCTACATAGGCGGATGCTCCACCTCTCCCCTCACCTCCTCTGCTCCACCTTCCCTCGCCTCCTTTGCGCCACTCTTCCCTCACCTCCTCTGCTCTGCTCTACTCTCACCTCCTCTGGTACCCTTCCCTCCTCCAGATGGGCAGCAAGCCACAGGGAACAATCGTATTTGTCTAACGTGCTGGCAAGGCTCAGGTCGTGACGAGGCAGACTGTATTGTAAGACGTCTCCAAAACCATACCTTCCTCCCCTCTCCCCGATATCCACCAGATGGGCAGCAAGCCACGGGGAGCGATCGTATCGGCGCACGTGCTGGCAAGGCTCAGGTCGTGGCGAGGCAGACACAAGCAGAGCGAGTCTCGGTGGGGGCAGGCACTTGTGAAAGTTAAAGCCCAGGCACCATATGAAGTGGAAGCGGACTAGGAGAATGACATAGGGAGCTCAATATAATGCCCAAGCACCAGGTGAAGGAGAAGCATACTTTGAGAATTACTCAATAATGAGAGAAGGCAGGAAGTACCAATTGCAAGATGACGTCATCTGTGTAGCATTTTAGTGTAGGTAGGGGTAGGTGGGTAAAAGGGAGTTTTGTAGTTGTTATTCATCCAGCCTGCTGAATTTCTTTCTCTGTTCATAAGTTCAGCATCTATTGATGTCACATATCTGTTTTCTCAGCTTTTTTCTACAGTTGTGTAACAAATTCTGAAGAGCCAAAACAAAAAATATGTACTCTTCATATGCATCAAGGAGCACAGTGCATACACGGTATCAGCAATTGTTACACAGTACAGTACGTAGGCAACTGCTTCAAAGGATGGAAACATGCTCTTTCTCTGTCTCTCTACACTGCCAGGCCCTGCCCAGTCTGGTTGCAGATGGTGTACAGCTGCACGTGCGAGAGAGGGAAGTGCGGAGGGGAAGTGGGGAGGGGAAGGGGGAAGGGGAGGCGGAGCTGCATTTCATGCAATGGAAACACGCTCCTCCCTCCGTCTCTACACTGCCAGGCCCTGGCCAGTCTGGTTGCAAATTGTGTACAGCTGCACGTGAAAGAGAGGGCGGGTGGGGTGGGGGAGGGAAAGACGCGGGGTATGGGGTATGGTTTAACGAAACTCAAAAGCCAAATGAACTACTATGCAAGAACACATGCATTCTTCTCGGATCACACAGGCAGGCACCACCCATGCCAGCACTCACCAGCCATGCCATAGACACACCACAACCACACCACACTCACCGAGGAAGTTATCCCTGGCGGAAACAAAACCCGGTCTATTCCATGAACGATGCCATTATACCCCGCGAATTTATTAGGCTCAACCACCCTCGCGCCCTCCACAGTCACCCCCGTTGCCGCCCGGGTCACAAGCACATTGGTGTTAGCAAGGGTGAAATATCGCCGCCCGTCAAAGAGCGCAGATTCCGGGAAGTTTCCGTAGAGGATGTGGTGGTTGAGAAGGGTGGCTAGCATGGGCCCGGACCGGGTGTAATTGGCGAGGCATGAAGTGTATGGGCCGAGGACCTGGGAGGAATTTGGGGGAGAATCGGTAGTGGGGAGGGGTGCAATGGACACGAGCATGATTGAAGCTGGGGATTGCTGGAAAAGTCCACCCACTCACCAGAAAGAAGGCTGGTTACCAGCATGCAGTGGTTACCAGCACGCAGTGGTTACCAGCACGCAGTGGTTACCAGCATGCAGTGGTTACCTGGAAGGCGGCATTAGAGGGTGCGAGGATGGTGATGCCGTTTGCCATGCCCACAGCCCCGTTGAGGAAAGCGACATAGTCCATGGGGGGCTGAAGGGATGCCATGGCTTGCACGAACATGGAATAGTCCGAGGCCGCTGGGCTCTGGTGGGAGAGGGAGGGCGGATGGGCGTGGGGAAAGGAAGAGATATGATGCCATGACAGACCCCCCCCGTTGAGGAAAACAGCATAGTCCATGGGGGGCTGAAGGGATGCCATGGCTTGCACGAACATGGAATAGCTGGATGCCGCTGGGCACTGGGAGAAAAGGAGGGAGGGAGGGAGGGAAGGAGGGAGGCGGGGGAAAGGAGGTGAGAAGGAAAGCATAAATCAGAGCTCAAACGGCAACAAGGAGTACAATATTTCATTTCTCAGTTGGGACACGGACTGAAAACCGGACTTGAACGTTTTGAACCGCCTCAAAACTCATCTCATTTCTCAGCTAGAACGAACACTGACTGAAAACCGCACCTGAAGGTCGCCGAAAATCCCCGCCACGGGAAGAGGCGGGTTGTTGCTGTTGCTGCCATCAGCCCCCGGTGCTAGCATCTCAACCTCACTCGCGCGGGTGGTAACCCCAATTCGCCTGCTGCCGCGAAAGCCTCGCAGCGGCACCGCAGCGACGGTCGTAACTCCCGAGGGATTCAGCGGGAGGACAGTCAGTACGAACAGCACCACAAATAACACCATCGCAAACGAGACAAATCCGTTTCTTCCTCCAAAAGTTTTGAGAAAAGCAGTCATGGAAAGTCCTGGATGTGCTACTTGCCGTCGGAAATTCTTTGCGTTAACACACTACTAGAGAACAGCGATAAACGCGAGGATGCGACGGTCAAGAAATCCCTTACGACAGTCACCTTCGTACTTTAGCAGACTTCAACGACACGCGGGCGGTAGTCTCACTACTCTCGCGGATCTCTCTGGAAAAGCTCTCGCAATCAGCTTATTACAACTCTCGCGCTGCTCTATGGCAAAGGTACGGCTTCGACACGACCTGTAACGAACCTAGACGAGGTAGTGCTTCGTCCTAAGGCTAGTATGCCGCGAACGAGACGAACGAGCAACGAAAGCAATGTCCATGACGGTAACGTCGACGGTGACGTTAACGGAACAGCTCCAGTGTCTAGGCGACGGCACTGGCCGTCACCCTGTTGGAGCATCACACATCGGCCATGGGATGCAAACCAGCCCGCATAACAATAAACGATGGCCCATGTCACTGAAGCTGCCTGGATGCGTTGGGATGAACTATGCACCTTCATTCTATTTAGCCTAGCTGTTGCGATGGCGCTTCGCCTAGTGGGACGACTGCTGTCCGCCATGCAGCGCGTTTCACGGCTGGACGAGGCAAATTCAACATCAGGAGTACAGTATCCAGCTGGTTTCAGAAGGGGTGAATTGGAAAAAACAATGCTCGTTTCAGAAGGGGTGAATTGGAAAAACAATGCTCGTTTCAGAAGGTTTAAAGGTTTAAAGGTTTTATTAGGTCGTAACCTATTACAAACATACAGCTAGATGAGGATATAAGCAATGCTAAGCCCCCCAGAGGGAGCACGTGTGAACACGTTATCCTCCCGCTACAAGAGCGGAGATGTATCAGGACAGATATCCAGCTGACATGTGCTAACGGGGGGGAGCCGGAGGTCAGGGGGGACGGAAGACATCGGAGGAGCCAGGTAGCTCTGGATGAATGACAGGGCAGTTGGGTTCTGGAAATATGAAGAACCGGTGGAGTTGTGCCAGTTTGATTTTGCGGGCAGCCCGAAGCTGTTTTTTCTTGGAGCTTTTGGAGAAACGCCAGATGAAGATTTTAAAGGCGAGTAAAAAAAGGTGTAGAACTTGGTGGAGCGCGTCCACATTCTTGGTGGAAACTTGTTTGAACCTGTGGCTGCACCTCGCGTTCCAGATGGTTTTGGCTGCCGCTCCGACTAGCAAACTCCAGGGGGCACTCTGTCCTGCCCCTTGCGAGAGTGGGAACAGAGAAAGTTCCGGCGAGGTTGAGATACCCAGATGGGCTCGGGCCGTACGCTGCAGCGCTTCGGTGATGGTTTTGGCCACACCACATTCAAAAAAGAGATGAGGGAGAGATTCCACGATTCCTTGGTTGCATCCAGCACAGGCTCCCTTATCACGGGAAAAGCTGAATCTGGAACCATATGGGAGCGCGAGGGTGTAAAATCGAAAGAGAACGTCGCGTTGCGAAGATGGTTGCTCGGAGAGAAACGCATGAGTGTAGTCCGGTAGGAGGAAGGGGCCGGGGCTAGGAAGAAGGTTCGTCCATCTCTGCGGATGCGTGAGGTCCTGCTGAACGTACGAGAGATCGCGGATGGCGGCCAGCGCTGGGATTCCTTCTTCCAAAATCGAAAATCGAGCCGCAAGTCCTGCTCCCGAGCAGAAGGACCCTCCCAACCAGTTGTCGTACACATAAACAGGGACCGTATCGCGAGGTGGAAGTAGGCGTCTTGCAACCGCTTCCTTTGCAATTCGGCCTGAAGGTGAGACATCGAAGACGTTAGCGTAAAAGGTGTCGTCGGGGAAGGTAACATCGACTTCAAAGGCTTGGCGAGGCGGGGCGTTCATATCTGCCGCCATCATGACCCAATCCCCGGTGCTGAGCGAAACAAGGCTGTGGGACGAGGAGAGAGCGACCCACCATTCTTTCGGCATCGCCTCATAGATCTCTTTGACGATTCTTCGGCTGCACGGATACTCTCGCGGCGGGTACTTCTTCTTGATTTCTGCTTTAGTGAGGCGTCGAGCACCTTGCGCATCACGTATCACTAGGTGCCCAATCCGCACTTCTTCCGTGAGAAGGAAAGTTTCGTCTTTGGTACGGCCGAAGGGACGTCCGTCAGTGTTGAGGATGAACCTGTTAAATGGGACTGGTTCCGCCAAAATACACCAAAACTCCAGTCGGGGGGAAAGGATGGTGAGGGGGACTTCCGAGAGACTAGTGACCTCTTCTCGGAAGCGAGTGGGAACGGAAGGGGGCAAGGCAGCAACAAAATCAGAATGAAGCAAGAAGCCATGCAAGCCGAAAGGGATGGGAACACAAGTCCTAGCAACTGATGCACCTGGGAATGGAGAGAACTGCCGTAGTGCCCGTTGTATATTGAGCGCACGGATCTGAGATGAAGGTTTGATCGCTCCGAGGCCTCCATGCTCGACTTTGTTGTATATGACCACGTTGGTGAGTAGGCGGGTGGTGCGGCCACCTGACCGATACTTGGAAGAAGACAGAAAGTTCCCAGCCACCGCGTCAAGGGCTTTAATGAGTGGGGCGGGGGGGGGGTTGAAAGCGTCCTGGAAAGGACAGGACTGAGTTCAGATGCTCGGAGTTTAGTCTGTTCCTGCAGGATGCGGATGCGTGTAAGTTGGAGAGGAGATTGGCGGTTCTCTTGATTTTGGCGATAGCAAGGTCCCAAGTGGTTTCCGTCCGTCCAGACTGACCTACAAAGATACCCAGGATCCTTTCAAACTCTGCTGCTTGGCGAATGGGGATGTCTCCTGCATGGCGGATAGAGCCGGGGTCATAGTTAAAGGGAATTAGAGAGCACTTCGCCCAATTAGGGTGTTCGCCTGAAACAGAGGCAAAGGAGAGTAGAGCGTGAGAGGCAATACGGAGTTCCTCGTCAGAATTCAAGAATATGGTGACGTCATCTGCATAGCACGCCATCAGTCGTCGCTGAGTGCGAGAAACAGGGAACCCGGGGAGAAAGCAAGAGGTATACCGGTGAAAGACCTCTATCACACAGATGAAGAGGAGCGGAGCAAGGGGACAACCTTGTCGGACGCCTGAGAGCACAGGGATCGGGGGCCCACAGAGATTGTTGACCGAGATTCTGGTGGAGGTACCAGAATGCATGAGCTTCACCCACTGGATAAAAGGGGGGGGGGGACCCAAATGCGCAAGACAGGAAAACATGAACTGGCGGTCGACCATGTCATACGCTTTGCGTATGTCGACTGTCAGGGCGAGGAGGGGCAGGGATTGAGAAGCGGCCCAGTCAAAGAGATCAAGAGTATCATTCAGTGTATCTCCGATACGGCGGGACTTGATGAAAGCGGTTTGAGAATGGCTGATGAGGGAAGGGAGCAGGGGCTGAAGTCGGTTAGCAAGGCAAATGGCGAGAATCTTATAGTCAGAATTCATTAACGTTATTGGTCGGAGATTATCAACAATGGTTGAGTCACCTTTCTTTGGAATCAGCACCGTGCGGCCCTGCAGCATGGAGGGGGGTAGGCTCTCACGGGAGTCGAGGAAGAGAGCATGGAAGGCTGGGGTGAACTGAGTGCGGAAGGAGCGGAAGAGCTCACCGGGCAAGCCATCAGGACCCGGGGTCTTTCCTCTCGGGAGCTGTCCGATTGCTCTGGAGATTTCCACCATTGAGAAGGGCATAGAGAGACGGGATGAGGAGTCAGGGGGAAGTTGGGAAGGTGGAATGAGAGACCAGAAGGCTGGATCCACCGAGATCTGCTGTGAGCCATTATACAGTTTCCGGAAAAAATCCGTGCAGATATTGCGCATGGTGGGGAGGTCAGTCGTTTGGTCACCTGAGGATGTGAGGAGGGAGGTAATGATGGAGGCCTTGATGCGGGAATTGACCCCAACCAGCAGCGAGGAGACACCCATTTCGCGCGGACCTTCCACTTTGAGCTTAGCTTTCATGGCAAGCTCTGCAGATCGGCTAGCTTCATATCGTTCGAATTGCAAGGTCGTGATTCGAAGGCGCTCTTTGGCCAACACATCAGAAGGATTGACCGCCAAATGGATGCGTAGTTGGCAGGTGAGGTTTCGCAGATGCGCCGTGGTTTTCTTGATGCGGATTTTCTCCTGGCCGGCGAAGGACTTCAGCTTGTTGCACATCTCTAACTTCCAGTGATCCCAGAGGGTGCCTGAGGGGGAAGGGGGGAGAGAGCGGCAGGCGGAGTCGACAATCTGAACCAGATGGGGACGTTTGAGAAGGGAATGCGGAAGGCGCCAGGGGCGTGGGGCCACATTGGGGCTGTCGAACTTGATCGTGCAGGAGGGAGATAATTCATGATCTGAAATGTTTCTAGTCACTGAAGTGTAAGCGGCTTCTAGCAGCCTAGGTCGTAGGGATGACGAGACATAAATGCGGTCCAGGCGAGATGCTGCAGGTGGCGAGTCGCCCTGGTCAGTCCGTGGATATGCGAAAAAAGAAAACATCGTCGCCGTGGGGTGAAGAATGCGAAAAGAGTCGAGAAGGGAGTGGTTTTGCAAAATGGTCGAGAGAATGGTTCCTTCAGAGATTTCGTGCCCCAGCAGAGGTCTGTTTCTATCCTCGGGGGCACACACTGCATTAAAATCACCGGCCAGGATAGTACCCATAGAAGCGGAGAGGGCGTCCAGCGCGGGTGCAAAGATTGCGCGCCACCACTGTCTTCGGAGAGAAGGGGTGGAAGGGGCATACGCAGCGATGAGACGAAATTGATCTTGAAGAAAATTGACGTGAACAGTCAGAAGTCGCCCGTCAAAGGAAGGCTCAGTTGAGGAAATAGTAACGTTTTGAGTGGTGAAGAGGGGGGGGGCATTGTACATGAGAAGCAGGTTTGAGCGATAAAACTAGATTTGGGAAGTTCAATGTTAGACGAGTATCCAAAAGAATTAAAATATCTGTTTTGGGGTCACAATCCGCTAGCCAGCCTCTTAAGTCATGTATTTTTTGTGGTTTATTAAGCCCATTGACATTAAGGCATCTGATGGTGAGGGGGATTAACATTGATCATGGACTGAGGCCCTCACATGCGTGAGCATGTGCATCCACAGGGCTGGGGGACGGAACAAGTGTAAACCACTGGAGCTGGAGGTGAAGTACCTCACCAGCCTGAAAAGATCCTTATGCAAGGTATACAGCGTTAAAGCATGGCACAAGGCTAAACATTTGGGCACAGTTATAGGCCGTGAGGCAGTGACCGCGTCACCCCAACCACCACACGAGAGGTAGTTTACAGCAGAAACGCAGAGATGCGGGGGTGCTGCAGTAGAGTGGCTGCCTTCCAGGCACCATATTTGTCTTTCACGGCCGGCAGGTGCGCAGACTCCTGCATGCGGTTGCGGTGAATATCCGAGTTGATATGGTACATCGCGCTGTCGAGCGCCAAACCACACTCGAAGTCGCACAGCGAGCAGGACCAGACTTCCACATCCAGGTCCACTCCAATGAGCAGCAGACCGGGGTCCTTCTTGAAGGCCGCGGGTGCAGCTTGCTGACCGATCAGGCGTCCTGATAGAGTAGGTGAAGAGGGGGACAGAGAGAGCTCCGGCAAACCATGGGGGGTAAAAGGGGACGGGGCACGCTGAAACACGTAACCAGAGAATATAGGGGGGTATGAACGAGCCGGGAAGGTGAATAAGTATTAGCAACAACGGGGGATGTAGCAAGGTTTTATCAGCGAGAGATGCGAAGCATAAGAGGGGGGAGGAAGTACCGTTCACAGACTGAAGCTGGGCCACCGAGATGGTGTGCCTGTTAGGGAGGCGAGCACGTCGCGTGAGTGCGAAGCAAGCATGATCCGCCACCCGGTGGTTGCTTGCGCAGACGGTGCAGGAGTGGCTCGAGATGTTCATTAGCACAGGTTCCTCCTGCTCGGGGATCCAGAGCACGGCGAGTATGCGGTCAAAGCCAGGGTCGCCGTCAGCTGCCACAGGGAGGCCACGCATCTGTGCGTAGACAGACCCGTCATACGGATCTTTCAGACGATGGAACGCGCAGAGATCCGATAGCCAGGGGAGGCCGTTCTCAGTCCTGCCCGCCAGAAGCGTGGCGCGAATGCTTTCAGGCGAGAAGCCCAGGGGAATGTTGCGGAGGACCAGGTGGGCGTCACCGCGGGTGCGCGCAGTCGTGAAGTCCTGATTGGGATCAGTGAAGGTTTTGACTTCCATAGAACGGTTATTAGCAAGGCGCACAGTGAGCGGAAACAGCCCTCGGAAGATCCGAGCATCATTTGCGGTAGGCCAGGAGTAGGAGTGCCTGGAATAGGTGTGGCGAGGCAAACGCAACGGCTCACCAGAAGCCGACTCAAAAGAGGGTACCGCACCGTTGAAGATCTGGCCGTTGAGAAGGGCCGAGATACGGGCAAGAACGGCTGCCCGTACTTCCTCACCCGAGACTTCCGGAAAGATGACGTCCACGAGGGACTGCGTGTTGCGAGTCAGCGACTGCAGGACAGCCCCCACCGTTGTGCGGTGACGACGGAGGTTGCGGTGGCGCACAGTGGGTGCCAGGCCCGAAGAGAGCCCCGCCGTGGTTTGCACCACCACCGGTTCTGGCAGCGGGAGTCGAGTGCGAGGAGCGGCCACACCACGCTGCCCAGAGGGGTCAGGCACGCGAGCAGACACAGGAGCCGTAGCAGCCGAGCTGCCGGAGGAGCTTGCACGAGGAACCGGCATTGACGCCGAAGGCGCACCAGAGGAGACAGAGGCCGTAGCAACGGCCGAGGGTTGCCCTTCACTGCATAGTTTCTTGGCGGCGGGTTCGCCGGACGGGGCCGGCTGAGCGCCAACGGGGAAAGAGGCCTGGGCATCATCGGGGAGTTCCGGCAAAGCGCCATCCGGAAGATCGTCAACGAGATAATCGTCGTCGAGTTCGTTAAGAGTAGCATCCCCGACAGGAATCTGCCCTTCCTCCATCACGTGGTCAGAATTGTGGATAGAAGCCATGACTGCGAAGGGTGCTGGTAAACCGGCCAGCAAGCGCAGTTTATACCAAAAGCAGGAGGAGGGTGATGGAGAGGTCATGACGAGGGGAGAAGGCCCGCATCGCGGCAAAAAGCCGGAGCGCAAGGGGTAGAGTACATCGCGGTTTGAAAGGAACCAGGAGCTTTGGCAATGGCCTTGGCATCCACGCAAACGTGACTGGGCGCCAGATCGGCAGCCCGAGTCGGAAATAGGAGCATGAGCGTTAGCTCTCAACGCAAAGCGACCACGTATAGCAAGAGGGTGGAAACGACCCCAGCGTGAGCTGTGAAACAGGAGGTGAGTCAAACAAGGGTCAGGAGGACGAAACAGGAGCGCCGTAAGGGGTCTGCATGGGGGTTTGCAACCCGAGGTGTACCACCAAAACAGCTGGAACGTCCAGGCGAGCCAAACGCACGGATAAGGAGTCGGACTCCAAGAATTGCGGGAGAAATGGCTGTCAAGATGAGTCCAAGAGGAGTCCACGTTGTCATTCCAGCCTGGAGAGACAGACGATGAGCTGTGAACCGGAGCACCACAGATTAGATAACTCACCTTTCCCAATGAAACAGATGTTGGAGCCACCGAGTGTAGGAGACGAAAAGATAACCTGCAAACAGACCACTCGTTACAACTAAAGGGGCCATACTCACCTTCCAATAGAACGCCAAGGAAAGTACAGTGAACGCAGAAAGCGTTATCGATCTGGCGAGCTAGAGTTGTAGAAGGGAAGCAGGAGCAGATGCAAACGAGGACGCGAAACAGCAGGGAAGCGGAGAGCTTCATTTTCCTGTAATAGTTTCAGGAAGGATCTGGGGGACTGCTCGTTTCAGAAGGGGTGACTCGTCCCTGAACGGTTCAGAAGGGGTTTCCATCGGTTCACAGCGTTCTGGCATATTTGACTCTTTGAAACCGGAACGCACCCAACGAAACCGTGGCACGTGACTTGAGAGCCTTCGGCACAGCGAGCGAATACAAGGAAACTCGTAACTAACCACAACACTAGGATAAAACACTACACCAAACCTATAAAAGGCAACACCAAACTAGAGACTAGTCTCTACAATGCGTGCTCCTATGCACTACACATCCAAGCCAGCTACAGTTTACATAGAGGACGATTCGTGCTAACTACATTTCATGAGTAACCACTGGAAAAGGCTAAAACTCTTTGCATATTCCAAGCATCTAAGCAACAGTCAGCCATCCGTTGCGAATCCACATGCGACCAACCCTCCTCCATTCCAAGTGAACAAATATGGAGGCCCCTGTACTCCCAGTATAAGTCTGCTCATACCATTCATGCATATCAGCAACAGTCGGCCACCCGTTGTAGCATCCACCTCCGTCCAATCCTCCTCCACACCAGTCTAAAAACACCATTCCCATGCCCATGCCCATGCCCGTGCCCATGCCCATGCCCGTGCCTGTGCCCGTGCCCGTGCCCATGCCCATGCCCATCCCCATGCCTATGCCCATCCTTATGCCCATCACCAGCATCCCCCTTTTCCCTCGCCTTCCTCTTCCTCCCTTTCACCTTCAACTCCTCCACCTCTCCTCCCCCTTTCCGCTTCATCCCAGTCATAACTTCCCCCTTCCTAGCATCAGGCGCCTTTCCCTCCACACCGGCCCCTTTCTCCCTCTTACGGCTCGCTTTCTCCCTCTTACGGCTCGCTTTCTCCCCCTCTCTTCCCCTCTCTCCCACACCTACCTCCTCTCCACCCACACCAGCCTCACCTTCCTCTCCCTCCTCTCCCACATCTCCCCTCCTTCCCTCCCACTCACCTGCCTCCTCTCCTTCTTCTCCCTCTTCCCCTTCATCCACCTCCCCCTCCTCTCTCTCATCAACCCCCTCCACCTCCGCACCCCTCCCCTCCCCTCCTTCTCCCAACCCACCACCAGCAGCCCCCTTGATTCCCACCTCTAGACCCTTATTCACCCCTAAGCCCTCATTCACCCTACCACCACCATCTCTCTCATGCATTCTCGCCTCACCACTCTCTCCCTCCACCCATGCCCCCTTACCCAAATGCTTCACCCCACCATCCTCTAGAATCCCAGCTCTTGTCACCACGTCATCAAAGCTAAACCCCTCTCCACCGTCCGATCCTGGTGAATCCGACGATCCCCGCGTGCTCGCCGCACTCCCACCTCCCTCAGAACTACTCCCACTATCGCTCTCTCCCCTCTCCTCTCCCCTCTCCTCTCCTCCATCTTCCCTTGCTTCTTCCCGTCCCCCTTCCTCTCCTCCTTGCTCCGCTACCCACTCACCCCCCCCTCTCTCTCCCTCCTCTGCTCCATTCCCCCCACGCCCTCTCTTCTTCCTCCTCTTCCCCCTTGCCTTCTCCTCCACCTCCTCCTCCTCCCCCTCATCCTGCTCCCACGCCCGGTCTAGAGCACCAGCCAGATTCACCTGCCTCAGATCCACCTCCCCCTCCACTTCACCCCCCCGTCCTGCACACCCAATCCCCTGCGCATTTCCTTTCAACCCCCCTCCACTGTAAGCAGCAGTACCCCCTGACGACTTTGAGTCGGCTTTCACCCACGATTTGAACGATGCCTCCCGCTGCACACTGCGCGTCAAAGGAATTCCTTCCTCACTCTCCTCTCCCTCCTCTGGTCCCTCCTCCTCTCCTTCCTCGCGTCCCTCCTCCTCTCCCTCCTCACGTTCCTCATCCCCTCCCCCATCCTCCCACTCCGGCTCTTCTTCCCACTGCCCCTCTGCTTCCTCTTCCTCCTCCTCCTCAGAATAATCTTCCTTCTGCTTCCTCCCTTCCGCCTGAATCTTCTTTCCCCTTTCCACATCCGCCCTCTTGCCCTTCTCTTCTCCCTCATCCATCACCATATCCCAGCCTTGCCTCTCCTCTTCCGCCCCTCCCTGATTGCGCATTTGTGACGCTTCCACTCCTTTTCCCCTTTCCACATCCGTCCTCTTGCCCTTCTCTTCTCCCTCATCCATCACTATATCCCAGCCTTGCCTCTCCTCTCCAACCGCTCCCTGCTTAGGCTCGAATACCTGTGGCGCACAGATAGGGGGAAGTGAAGGAAGAAGGGAATACGCCCTCGTGCCCTTCTCTTCTTCTCCCTCATCCATCACTATATCCCAGCCTTGCCTCTCCTCTCCAACCCTTCCCTGCTTAGGCACTTGAGGCGCTTCCATTCCTTTCCTCTGCTTACCGGGTGTTCGTTTCTTCCTGCCCGAACCCCCAGGTTCCCCAGCTGCAGGAAGTTTACCTGCCCGGGTTCTGCTTCGAGCTTCCGCCAGAGCTTTAGCTCGCGCAACCTGCAGCAAACAGAGGAACAAAACGGCTTGGTGAGAGGAATATTATACAATCATGCCAAACTACAAGCGGAAGACAGGTAGGGCTAGAGGTGAGGGGAAAGCAGGTTGCACGCCTACTGATCTTGGATGTAGCTGTGTGCCACAGGTGTGCACTTATGGGCATGGCAGCAAGCATGAGGAGGGAGAATCATAGCACTAAGCGACGGCACAAGCAGTGAATAGGCAGTGCATGAACAGTGCATAAGTGGCCTGCACACGCACTGACCTTGGATGTAGCTGTGTGCCACAGGTGTGCAGCCATGGGCATGGCATGGCAGCACGCATGAGGAGCGAGCATCATAGCACTACCTAGAGTGCTCTGCTCCAAATAGCTCCTCGCCCACCTGTCCGCTACTGACAGCGCATGAGGAGCGAGCATCATAGCACTACCTAGAGTGCTCTGCAGCAGTGCATAAGCGACGCACAAGCAGTGCATAAGTTGGGTGCACACGGACTGACCTTGGCTCTAGCTGTGTGCCTCAGGTGGACAGCCATGGGCATGGCATGGCAGCACGCATGAGCAGTGAGCCTCATAGCACGACCTAGAGCCCATCTCAGCGTGCATAAGCGGGGTTCAGAGGCACTGACCTTGGATCTAGCTGTTTGGCGCAGGTTGGCAGCCATGGCCATGGCAGCGCACATGAGGAGTGAGCACCACAGCACTACCTAGAGTCCAGTGCACAAACGGAGCATACATGGTCCAGAAGCACTGACCTTGGATCTAGCTGTTTGGCGCAGGTTGGCAGCCATGGCCATGGCAGCGCGCACGGAGTTCTTGTAGCTCGAATACCTGAGGTAGAAAGATGGGGGGCAGCGGGAGGAACAGGGCAATGGGTGAGGAGAGGAGCGTGGAGATGGGGAGAGAGACGGGGGGGGAGTAGCCATGGCAGCACGCACAGAGTTCTTGTAGCTCAAATACCTGCACAGATGGGGAGAAGCGGGAGGAGCGGGGGAACAGGGGAGGGTAGGAACGTGGAGGTGGGGAGGAACGAGGAGGTGGCGAGGGGGATATGGGAGGAGGTTGCAGCAGTAGCCATGGAAGCGCACACAGGGTACTTATAGATCGAAGACCTGCCGCACACAGATGGGAGAAAGAAAAAAAAAGGTCAGGAGGCTGAGAATTGGATGGACGGGGGGATGGGATGCCACTGACATGTCTAGAGTACCCAATTCGAGCATCAGATGATGCTCGAATTCGAACACAGAGAGTTCGTGAAGCTAGAGTACCGGAGGCTTGCAGATGATTGGGAGATCGAGGTGCGGGAAACAGGGAAGGTTGAACAAGCGGACAGACGGTCAGGCAGCAAACACTGGCAGGTTGACATGAGCGCAGATGGTATCCCGTCACCCCTCTAACCTCCCAGTCTTTTTCAATCATCAGTCCGCACTGACCTTCTGGCGCGCACCACCTGCTGCTGCATCAGCGCCATCTACCACTTCATCTCCGCCCTCATCCTCTGCAGCTCTCTCTAATCCTGAACCCCTTAAACCCCCCATTTCCCCAACCCCCCCCACCCTAATAGATCTTACCTTCTGGCGCGCACCACTTGCTGCTGCATCAGCTCCATCTGCCACTTCATCTCAGCTCTTAATCTTAAACCCTTAAACCCCTTCTTCCCTCCCCGCCGAATAGAGCTTACCTTCTAGCACGCACCACCTGCTGCTGCATCAGCTCCATCTGCCACTTCATCTCAGCTCTTAATCTTAAACCCTTAAACCCCTTCTTCCCTCCCCGCCGAATAAAGCTTACCTTCTGGCTCGCACCACCTGCTGCTGCATCAGCTCCATCTGCCACTTCATCTCAGCTCTTAATCTTAAACCCTTAAACCCCTTCTTCCCTCCCCGCCGAATAAAGCTTACCTTCTGGCTCGCACCACCTGCTGCTGCATCAGCTCCATCTGCCACTTCATCTCCGCCCTCATTCGCTGCAGCTCTCGCATTGCTGCCTCCTTCTCCCGCCTCTCCCTCTCTAGCTCCTCCTTCATCGCCTCTTCTTTTTCCCTCGCTTCTTTTTCTCGTGCTTCCTTCTCCCGCCTCTTCCACTCCAGCTCCTCCCTCATCGCTTCTTCTTTCTCCCTCGGCTCTTTCTCCCTCGCCTCCTTCTCCCTCTCCTCTGTCTCCCTCGCCTCCTTCTCCCTCCTCTCCCTCTTCACCTCCCCAGAGGCCACGTTCCCCCCTTGCCCAGGAACCTCCTCCTCCTCTCTCTCTGCCTCCATCTGCTCATCACACTCCACTGCCATGCTACCATGCGCACTGTTGGCAGCAGCTGCACCAGCATCAGCATCGGCACCAGCAGCACCAACAGCATCAGCAGCAGCAGCACCAGCATCAGCACCACCACCAGCAGCACCAGCATCAGCACTACCAGCAGCCTCACTGGCCTCCAGCTCCTTTTTCTCCCCAACCACTCCATCACTCACGCCTGCCTCTGCTCCCACCCCTCCCTCCCCACCCTCCCTGTTCACTTGTGCTGCATCCGCGTCCTTCACTTTACCCCCTGAACCCGTATGTGGCATAACACTGTTGCTAGTCTCATAGCACATGGCAGCATCCACGTTGCTCCCTGACGGCGTCGCCTGCCCCTCCCCCACGCCTCCTGCCCTCTTTCTCCTCCTCACATAGACATTCATCTGCCCCTCCTCACGCCGTCCCCCCTCCCTCTCTCCTCCCATGCCCTCCCCCGTCTCCTCCACCCCTCCCTCGTCCTTCCCCTCCTCACTCCCCTTCCGCTTACTCGTCTCCCCTTCGCCTCCTCCATCCTCGTCTCCTCCCTTTTCCTCCTCCCCTCCACCTCCCGCCACACTCCCCTCCTCCTCACTCGCCCTCCCCTGCTTACCCCTGCCACCTCCCTTCCGCCCACCCCTCGGGCTTCGAGCCTTCTCCTTCCCTTTCTCCTTCCCCTTCGCCTTTGCTTTCTCCTCCTCAGCTTTCGCCTTGGCCCTCTCTTTCGCCCTACGCACCTCCTCCTCCTCCTGCTCCTCCTCCACCTCCATAATCCTCTCCTCCCACTCACTAATCCTCTCCAGCACCAAACCCTTCCCTTCCCCTTCACCCTCCTCAACCCCCGCTCCCCCCGCTCCCCCCGCTCCTCCCCCTGCCCCTTTCGCCCCTTTCGCCTTACTCTCCACCTCCGTTTCCCCCTCCCCTTCCGCGCTCATCCCGCTCTCGCTCCCGCCATCCCCCTTCCCAGCGCCCCGCCTCACCCCTCTCCCTCTCCTCACCCCTCCTCTCCGCACCCCAGACAATCTCACACTCGCACTCGCACTTGCACTTGCACTAGCACTAGCACTAGCGCTCATGCTGCTCCTGTCACTCTCGCTCCCCCCTTCCGGCATCAGTCCAAGAGACCTCCACATGGAACGAGTCATTCTCCTCCCACCAGGAGTAAGCAGCGCTCCTGGCAGCAACCCCTCTACCGCACCCGCCACTCCACCCCCTTGCGACTTTTGAGGCACCTCCAGAGTCATTCTCCGCCGACCAGGAGTGAGCAGCGATCCTGGCAGCAACCCCTCGACTGCACCTACCACTCTGTCCCCTTGCGCCCCCCCTGCTGCCGCCGCTCCCCCTACTACTGTCGGCCCCCCTGCTGCCGCCGCTCCCCCTACTGCTGTCGCCCCCTCTGCTGCTGTCGCTCCCCCTGTTGCTGCCAATCCACCAACTGCTTCTGCCACTGTTCGCCTCCTCGCGCTCCTTCGCCGCATGCTCGCTGGGGTTGCAACAGGAGTGGCGGTAACAGGCGCTGTGGTGACCGGCGCTGCAGTGACTGGTGCTGTGGTTTCCGGTGCTGTGGTAGCAGGCGCTGTGGTATGCTCAGCTGCTAACGGCTTCTCAGCAGGCTCAGCCGCTACTGGCTGCTCGGAAAGCGTGTCAACAGCCTCGCCAGGACCTGCTAGTTTGTCCTGTGCGTCAGACAGCTCAATAGGCTTGTCGGCATGCCCAGCAATCTGATCGGCATCCACATGCTGAGTGGGTTCACCATCGGTTTCCATCTGCTGAGGGTGGTTACCAGCTGCATCAGAGGGCTGCGAGGGCACAGGGGGTGAGTCAGACTGCTCCGTAGGCTTATCAATATGCTCAACACTCTGCTCCGCATCCACATGCTGAGTGGGTACGCTATCAATATCCATCTGCCGAGAATCCTTATCAACCGCATCAGCAGGCTGAGCAGACACATGGGGTGAGCCAGACTGCTCAACAGGCTTGTCGGCATGCTCAGCAATTTGTCCAGCTGCATCCACATGCTGAGCGGGTTCAACATCGGTTACCATCTGCTGAGACTGCTCACCAACCGCATCAGGAGGCTGAGCAGACGCATGGGTTGCTTCAGACTGTCCCATCGCGGCCTCGGGGTAATCGTCAGCGGTGGCAGGTTGGTCAGTGGGCTTGTCGACAGTAGGCGTGTCCGCAGCACTAGGTTTGCCAATGGCATCCGTCGGCTGGTCTGACATTTTTGCTGCATCAGAACGCTGAGTAGGCGTATCGGTTATGATAGTAGGCTCGGCTGCTTCAAGCTTTTCAGTAGGCTGCACAGGGGCATCAGGCTGCTGATTAGGCGGGTTCGCTGTTTCAAGATCATGATCAGGCTTATTAGGTGCTTCAGGGTCCTGATCAGGCTTCTCAGGTGCTTTAGACTCCTCTACAGGGTTTTCAGGAGCTTCAGGGTTTTGATCAGGCTCCTCAGGTGATTCAAAACCCTGATCCTGATCATGCTTCGCCGATGCTTCAGGCTGCTGTGAAGACGCGTTGTAATGCTTCCCAGTCACATCAGTCTGCTGCTTCTCCGATGCTTCAAGCTGTTGCGAATTCGCGTCATAATGCTTCCCAGTCAAACTGGTATGCTGCTTCTCCGATGCCTCAGGCTGCTGTGAATTCGTGTCATGATGCTTTCCAGTCGAATCGGTCTGCTGCTTCTCTTCAGATGCGTCGACCTTCGTTTGACAGACGTCGGCCACCTCATCTGACGGTCCACGTGCAACATCCGACGGTCGAGCATCATCTGAAGGAATCTGAGCAGCATCTGACGGTCCTGCAGCATCCGACGGTCCTTGAGCAGCATCGGACGGTCCATGCGCAGCATCTGACGGTAACTGAGCAACGCCGAAATTTGTTTCGAGTTTGACGGCTCTCTGCGCAGAGTTTTCCATCTCAAATGACGTGGTTGCCGCTGCACCGCCAGGATCCAAACCCGTCATTTGATCCATCATCTAAAGCCGTCAGAATGGCATACGAACCACGATTACAAGTCGATTTCGTCTCAAACTTCAAGCCTGTTACAGAGAAAGTGTTTCAGCTTAAACCTCAATGCGCTATCTGCGGAGGTGCAACCCTATCGCAACTCCGACAAGGAAATAATCGGGACTTCTAAAAACTCAGCAACAGCACCCGCACTCTAGAACTAACATTTTGGGTGAGGGGAGCAATATGACAGGACAGATTTACCATAATTCTGGAAAATCAAGAAACCTCGTGCTTCCAGGAGCTTCATTGCACAAACATGCGGTTGAATGGGGTTGAAGGAAGAATGGTCTGTTCGAATCGGGCTGGTTGATGGAGCATGGTCCGATGAGATCTGTGAATGTGTTTAACTTTGATCGGACGGTATGTGAATTGCTTAGAAGTGTCAGAGACGATCGGACGGTGACTGGCTATGGTGTTGCCCACGGTATTGTCCACCATGATGGCGTGTGCCTGACGACGAAGCGGGATAGAAGCGAAAGCTAGCAGGGCGCGAAAAGAACTTAGTCAACAGAAACTTCGATACAGCGACGAGTTTTGATACTAGTTCAAAACAATCGTTCAGATATATGAGAGATTCACCGGCACATCAATGGGACGAGCTTTGAGAGTAATAACACAATCAAGTACTGTAACGTATATTCTTAGCGCGTTGTGTGTTTAGGGTTTACCAAATCTGGCCCACGTAGCACGTGTGCCTCATCCCCATCAGCAGCCACGTGGGCCAGTCAACATGGTCTGGTGGCTCCCATACTCCTCGAGTCGCAGGCGAGTATGTTCGCCATAGAAAGAACTCCGTTCCAGTACAACACAGCTCGCAACGCCCCTCCCTCCAACCTTTTCAGCTTCGCCAAATTCCCACGTCCCCCTTCCCCCAACCTGCCCACACCAGCTACTTTCCAGACTCGCCTAGTCTCTGCGAGAATTACCTGCAGTGGCTTTATTTTGGCGATTCAGGCTCTCCACAACATCCCTCTCGTACATTCTCGGTCACTGTATTGCTATCGGCGCAATCCTGCTCCTTTTTTTCTAGCCTACTACCATTAGAGGATATTTCCATGAACCATTGATAGTCTGCGTCATTGACAGGTAAACTGTCCACACCCTCCAGCTCCAGTCCGAGTATTTCTATCCGCAGACGAAATGGATACCTCGCGAGTGTACAGATTACACGCCTTAGCGGCTGCTCTATTATTGGCACAGGCTATCCTCGTTACAGGGATCCACGCCGACGCAACAGACGTCGGCGCGGACTCGTTACAAGAATACGACGCGGAGGCGGCTTACGCAGCAATGGCAGCGAGGATGCGAGAGAAAGGGCTCACTCTGTTCGTCTCCAACATGGAACGATCTCGTAAGCGAGGAAGCGCGGCGCTCGTTTTGCAAAATAACAAACACTTGCAAATATGTGGGCCTAGGGATCGTTCTCATTGCACAGTGTGATAATGTTAAAGAGAGAGGAAACGAATGTTTTTTTGTTTCCTCCCTGCAATCACAGAATCCCTCGCAAAAGCCACAAATGCCCATCTCCTCACCACTTCCCTCTCCCCCAATCCCCCGTCCCCCCGCTTTACCCCACTTTCCCCCCTGATCTCCCATGCGTTTCCTCCATTCCTATGCTTGCTTTCCTCCCGTGCTCAGAATTCAACGTCACGCTATCGTTTCTCTTATCGCGGATGCGCATAACGCTTCTCGCGCCCATCAACGGCGCGTTCACCTCCCTGCCGGCCGTCACGCGCCGCTACCTCACGCGCCGCGCCAGCGTCATGCACCGCGTGCTCGCCTTCCACACTCTCGGCCGGAAGCTCTCTGCCGCTCAGCTGGCACAACTACCGGCAGGCTCATTGGTGTGTGGATGCTGTGCTTTCCCCTGTTAGCGTTGGCATGCACTGCGTGCTCAGAGGCATGCTGTGCTGTCTGGGTGCTGTGGTTGTGGGAACCCTAGAGATGATGTGCTTTGAGTACCTGTGGTGTTCCACTGTACGCATCGCACCAGCAATCTTTCTTGTTTTGTTGGGTTTGGATGTGCTGGCGCTTTGTGCTCATTCAATCCACTCTCTCGCCTCTTCCATTCTCCAGCCTCCCCTCTCTCCTCAACTACCCCTCCCTCTCTCCCTCCTCTGCCACTCCCTCTCTTTCCATCCCCCCACCCCAAAATCCTCCCTCTCGCCTGCGCTGAACCTCCTTTATCCTCCACTCCGCCCCACTTCCTCTCGTGTGCATGCAGTTCACAACAGGGTTTGAGGAGATGGAGATGGAGAAGGTAGAAGGGGAGGGTATCGTGCTGGGAAAGCCAGTGTTAGGAGCGCAGGGGAGTGTACGAGTGGTGCTGCCAGACCTCTACACAGATGCACACATGGTGGTGCATGGAGTGAGTGGAGTCATGGTGCCTGACATTTTACTAGACCTCCAATAATGGGGGATTAAACAGATGGAATAATAAAGCAAATTATTAGGATCGATAAAAAATCCCCCATACTAGATACCCTCAAGTTAGTGTATATTCTTACGTTATTTGAATTATCTCATAAATGTTTGACAAAAGATAAAGTGTAATGGCAGGTGTGTGGTGATTAGTGGAAAGGAAGTAATAAGTATTTATCAACGATTTACGTCTACCTCTGAAACCGACTTGTTTTTCTCCACAGTTGAATCAAGACACGGTTGAAAGAAGCATCCCGCCCGATGATGATGACTTGACAAGCGAGTCAATTTGAATTCGTCGTCTGACACCACCTCGTGTTTGACACATGGTTATGGCGGCTCGGGCGATGACATCCACATCCATAGGATCTCGGCAGACATCTGCTTGGTGGTAACTTACCATACCATCCACATCATACAACCCCACATAGCTGTGCTCAGCCGTCAGATCATGTGTAACTTTTCTTGCTAGCTCGGATTTTCGCACACGGTGGCTTTTGCCCGCGAACAAGCCGTCAATTCGCCAGGCTGGACCCATCGTGATGTACTTTTGGGGGCTGTCCTGTCCAAACTTCACACCACTTCCTCCGTTCCCCGCCTTCACCACCACAGAACGTCGGCGGACCTACCCGCGGATTCCTGCCATTCAGCGCAACTCGCCAGCAAACTTTGCAGCGGCTTGCGCCTCGGGCTTGCCGAAACGGGGGGAACACCCCCCCTTTCGACTTGGGTGGACGGGAGGGCACTTCGCGAGGCGACTCGACTTGCCGCTCTTGCCGTTCAGCCGTTTCCCTTTCGCCTTTCTCTTCCCATCACCCCACCTCACCTTGCATCACCTCAGCCCACCTTTCCCAAATCTATCTCACCTCTCTTGAACTTTGCTCACCTTGATGAAACCCTCTTCACCGGACCGGACCTTGCTTTTCCTTCCCGTCCCAATTCTCGTCGCTAGTCCACCTCCACTGAATCCCTCTCAGGCATTCACCATGCACGGTTTGTCTCAGAGAGGAATCTCCTTGCGTTAGCTAGCTCCAATCATCCATGGCTTCCTCGGTTAGCTGTACCGTGGAGGTAGTCTTCGTAGCGTGGACTCTTACCGAAGCGCGTAAGATTTAGGTTAACAAGGAGGAAATTAGGGAGATGCTTTGTAGCCTTAGTAAGAAGGCTTAGTGTCACAATCAGATGCAACTGGATGACCGTGAGGTGCAGAATGGCGGATTCCTTTCATGTTCGCGTCAAGCGTGATTCACCTCGCTCGTTACGTCAGATCCAAGTTCTTATTAGATTTTCAGCTCATTAATTCAGCAGATGAATCGAATCGTCTTCGGTATCATGCTCGCGAGTCGCGACGTGGGACTCTCAACCACTCGCCGCGACAAACTTAACAACGTGAAGCGACGACAAACATTTTTGCGCACACGACATGATGCGACCCGACGCGACCTGATGCGACAATCTTCGTAAAGGTCGCGACGTTCAAGCTAGCGTGTCACTCGTGACGTTCAAGGATGAGTTTGCGAGTCGCCTTGTGCGACTTTACGGCTTGCATCGCTCGCGAATGTGCTACGCGCTCACGAGAAGGTTGTCGTGAGCGCCAACGTTACGTCGACGTTACGACGAACACCCGTGTCTACTATTACCGTCGACGTGTGCGACGCCACGGCGACCATCAGTTGTTCTCGCAGCGGCATCCAAGGCCACGAAAATCACTTCTACTAAATTCGACGACGCTTGTGACGTTAGCGAAGTCGCGTGGATGTCCGACGATGACGACGACGCTGAGAAGATGCGACGACGTTCGACGTCTGATGGAGGATCTCGCGACGGAAGAACTCGCGACGTACGACGGCGCGAGACGTACGACGGCGGAGCAGCTCGCCGACACTCAGGGGGCGAAGGAGAAGGAGAACGCTGACGATCGCGGACCATGAATGGGTGAGTTAGCGTTTCCCGTTTTAACTAAGGAATTCGCGTTTTCCGTTTTAACTCAGTTAAAGTTTTCAGTTTTCAGATTCCTGTTGCGCTCGTGACTATTGTGGCTGGTCTATTCGTTTCGTATCATGCGTATCTCACTTTTCAAGGAGCAGCAGTCGCGCTCCCTCAATGTAGACGGTCGTTTCCTAGTTTTCTTTCGTTCCGTATCTCATTCCTACATTCTCCGTGCGTGCAGGAGTGGCAGAGGCTCATGCAAGCATCGCGGAAAGGGGATGCATCAGGGGAGAGGCGCGGATGCATCAGGGGAGATGCGCCGATGCATCAGGGGAGAGGCACGGATGCATCAGGGGAGAGGCGCGGATGCATCAGGGGAGAGGCGCGGATGCATCAGGGGAGATGCGCGGATGCATCAGGGGAGAGGCGCGGATGCATCAGGGGGGAGGCGCGGATGCATCAGGGGAGCGGCGCGGATGCATCAGGGGAGAGGCGCGGATGCTGACTGCGTTTGAGCATGGAGGCATGGAGCATGGAGGCATGGAGCATGGAGGCATGGAGCATGGCGGCATGGAGCATGGCGGCATGGAGCATGGCGGCATGGAGCATGGCAACGGGAATCAACAACCGGCTAAGTTCCCTCTCCCTGACTCTCTGCTTATTTCGACTTCCATGCTCCCTCCTCCTCTTCCTCCTCCTCCTCCTCATCCTCCTCCTCCTCCTCCTCCTCCTCCTCCTCCTCCTCCTCCTCCTCCTCCTCCTCCTCCTCCTCCTCCCTCCTCCTCCTCCTCCTCCTCCTCCCTCCTCCTCCTCCCCTTCTCCTTCTCCCTCTCATCCTCCTCCTCCTCCGTCGTTGCTGGTTGAGGTGAACCCCACGGGTCACAGACGCTTACCCCTTGGGTACTTCGGGCAACGGCCCCAGTGTAAGTGCATCCGGTAGCGGGGTATCTCCCCAGCACTCCCCCACCCCCCCATCTTCACCGGCAAAGACCAAGCGTAAGTAACTTGAGACATGACAAAAGACTCCCCTTGCGTCTGTGGCTTGTGGGTGTAACCCCACCAGTAGCGGGCCTCTCTCCTCCTCCTCCTCCTCTCCTCCTCCTCCTCCTCCTCCTCCTCCTCCTCCTCCTCCTCCTCCTCCTCATCCCCTCCTCCTCCTCCTCCTCCTCCTCCTCCTCCTCCTCCTCCTCCTCCTCCTCCTCCTCCTCCCCCCCCCCCCCTCCTCCTCCTCCTCCTCCTCCTCCTCCTCCTCCTCCTCCTCCTCCTCCTCCTCCTCCCCCCCCCTCCTCCTCCCCCTCCTCCTCCTCCTCCTCCTCCTTTCCTCCCTCCTCATTCTCGGATTGTGTCATTGTCATCTGTTTTCTCTCTCTCAGCTTGTAACCTCTACCCAGTTACTAACCTTCACTGTGGGGTTGCACCTTGCGGTTCCTTGTGCAGGCACGGTGACGCGTTGCTGGGGAGACGGAGAAGAAGCGACAGGAGCAGCATCTGCAGCGGCAGCGGCAGCATCGACAGGAGCAGCAGCGACAGGAGCAGCAGCGACTGGAGCAGCAGTGACAGGAGCAGCAGCGACAGAGGCAGCAGCGACAGGAGCAGCATCGACTGGAGCAGCATCGACAGGAGCAGAAGCGACAGGAGCAGCAGCGACAGGAGCAGCAGCAACTGGAGAAACAAGTGAGTAACTGGAGCCATGACTGAACACCCCCGCTTGCTTCCTTCTGCTCTCCCTCCCCTCTCCCTCCTCATTCGCGTTTTCATCTGCCTTGGTTGCTTCTATGGCTTTCGTGTTCTTCCTCGTTTTCCGCTGTCTTTTTTCATCCCAGTGTCGCCATGCGCCTTCCCCCTCCCACCCCTCCCCAGCCATTCACTTGTCGCTCTGCTGTGCTAAACTTTCAAACTTTTCTGTTGTTCTCTGCTTGTGCTCTTTCTCTCTCTCTCTCTCTCTGCCGCTCTCAGACTGATTTTGCTCTCTCTCCCCCGATCTTCCTGGTTGCTCCTCGTGCAGAGCCAGCAGACGGCAGCAGTGGGATGGCGGCAGTGGGATGACGCACGGCAGGCACCACTTCCGCTGCCCTGCTGATCACTGCTCGCCTCCGGAGGAACGGCGAGGCAAGGAGGGAGAGGTGCCGCTGCTGGCGAGCGCTTGTGCATTTATTTTGCCATCCACCCTTCGCTTACCCACCGATCATCCCGCCCTGGTAAGTAAATGCAGTTTGGCAGCCCTTCGCAGTTTTTTATTTCTGTTTTTGTCATTTGTGAATAGACAGGGACTGATGCTGTTCTGTGCCACTTGTGCAGGTCGCCCACGCACTTGAGGCGAGGAGGCAGACCACGGCTAAGGGGCGGTGGGATGACGCACGGCCTGGGCATGCCCTGCCCTGCTGACCACGGCTGTCCCTGCATGCACCCCCCAGCAGCAGCAGCAGCAGCAGCAGTAGCAGCAGCAGCAGCAGCAGCAGCAGCAGCAGCAGCAGCAGCAGCAGCAGCAGCAGCAGCAGACATTGGGCCTTGGATATTAAGCATTGGGCATTGAGGCTTGGACGTTGGGCATTGAGGCTTGGACATTGGGCATTGAGGCTTGGACATTGGGCATTGGGGCTTGGACATTGGGCATTGAGGCTTGGACATTGGGCATTGAGGCTTGGACATTGGGCATTGAGGCTTGGATATTGGGCATTGAGGCTTGGATATTGGGCATTGAGGCTTGGATATTGGGCATTGAGGCTTGGACATTGGGCACTGAGGCTTGGACATTGGGCATTGAGACTTGGACATTGGGCATTGAGGCTTGGACATTGGGCATTGAGGCTTGGACATTGGGCATTGAGGCTTGGACATTGGGCATTGAGGCTTGGACATTGGGCATTGAGGCTTGGACATTGGGCATTGAGGCTTGGACATTGGGCATTGAGGCTTGAACATTGGGCATTGAGGCTTGGACATTAGGCATTGAGGCTTGGACATTGGGCATTGAGGCTTGGACATTGGGCATTGAGGCTTGGACATTGGGCATTGAGGCTTGGACATTGGGCATTGAGGCTTGGACATTGGGCATTGAGGCTTGGACATTGGGCATTGAGGCTTGGACATTGGGCATTGAGGCTTGGACATTAGGCATTGAGGCTTGGACATTGGGCATTGAGAGAAGTCCCCACCTTGCTGCAGACTGCAAAAAACTTCAACGCCCACATTCTCGGTACGTCTTTTGCTTTGCATATTGATTTCTTTTGATCAATTTCCTACTGTCTTCGTCGTTTTACTCTCTACCCAGCAGCTAACCTTCTCTGCAGTGGGCGATGCAACTCTCTGTTCCTTGTGCAGGGTGGGGCGTCAAGGGGTGGCTGGGGAGACGGAGCAGCAGCTGCAGCGGCTGGCGAGGTGGAGTGGTGTTGCTGTGTTGGAGGCAACTGGAGCAGCAGCAACAGGGGCTGCAGCAACTGGAGTAGCAGAAACAAGTGAGTAACTGGAGCCGTGACTGAACACCCCCGTTCCTTTCTTCTCTCCCCCCTCCCTTCTCCCTCCTCGTTCACGTTCCTCTGCCTTAATTGTTTTTATGGCTTTGGTGCTCTTAATCTCTTTTTCCGGTGCATTTTCTCCTCTATGCATTTGTTACTTTACAATCTGTCAATTTACTCTGTAATTACCTGTACTCTTATGAACCTTCCCTGTGGGATTGTGAATCTCTTGTTGCCGTGCAGGCAACATTAAGGTGTGGGTGGAAAAGATAGAGCAGCAGAGACAGAAGCAGCATCATCTGTAGGAGTAGAGTGGCAGTGGCAGCAGCGACAGGAGAAGCATCGGCAGAGGTCGCAGTGACAGCAGGAGGAAAGCGGCAGCAGCTGCAGTGGCTGGCGAGGCAACTGGAGCAGCAACGACTGGAGCATCACCGACTGGAGCAGCATTGACTTGACTGGAGAAGCAAGAAATTGGAGTCATGACAGAACACCTCTGTTCCTTTCTTCTCTCCCCCATCCCCTCTCCTATGGCTTTCGTGTTCTTTCTTGTTCTTTTGCTGCCCTCTTTCATCCTTGCATTCGTTCCTCTTCACTCTGCCAATTCTCTCTGTCAAATCGTAACCTCTACTCTGATTAACCTCCCCTGTGGCATTTCGCAACTCTCTGGTCGCTGTGCAGGGAAAGTTAAGGAGTGGGTGGAAAAACGTAGCAGCAGCGTTGGAGGCGGAGAGGTGCTGCTGCGTTGGAGGCAACAGGAGCAGGAGCAACTGGAGCAGCAAGTAAGTAAGCGGAGCATTCTCCTCCCCCACCCTAGTCCCTCCTCATTCGCATTTGCTCTGGCTTTGTTTATGGCTTTCGTGTTCCTTGCCGTTTTTCTGGCTTTCGTGTTCTTTGCCGTTTTTCTGCTGTCGTTTTTCCTCCTTGCATTCCTCTTCTGTCGACTCGTATCCCCCACTCTGATTGACCTTCCTTGTGGGATTGCAACCCTCTCGTCGCTGTGCAGGGACATGGAACGTTGAGGTGTGGATGGGAAGATGGAGCAGCAGCGACAAGAGAAGCATCGGCAGCGGTGGCAGTGGCAGCAGGAGGAGAGCAAAGCAATGGCAGCAGTGAAGGGAGGAGAGGAGCAAAGGAGAGCATTGGAGTGCAACAGCGGAGAAGAGGAGCAGAGGAGCAGAGGGGCAGAGAACACAGCATAGCTGCGCTTCCCCTCAACGCTGCTGGCTGCATGGAGGAAAGAACGCACGGAGGGGAGAAGTGAGAAGGAGCAAGCAGCGAGCTTCTACCTCCCGCGTGCTTCTGCTGGTGCTGTGAAGTGATGGGATGACGATCAGTTCTACTTCGTTAGCGCAGCGGCGACACCAGCGGTGGCAGCAGCGGTGGGAGAAGGAGAGAGGTCCGCAATGACACTACAGCTGACAGCAGCAGTGGCTGGCAGCAGAAGAGAAGACCAGCAGCGACACCAGCGGTGGCAGCAGCGGTGGGAGGAGAGGAGAGGTCCGCAATGACACTACAGCTGGCAGCAGCAGTGGCTGGCAGCAGAAGAGAAGACCAGCAGTGACACCAGCGGTGGCAGCAGCAGCAGCGGTCGCAGCAGCAACAGCGGTGGCAGCAGCAGCACCGATGGCAGCAGCAGCAGCGGTGGCAGCAGCAGCAGCGGGGAGCAGCAGTAGCAGCAGCAGCAGCGGAAGGAGACGGCAAGGACCTGCTGGGAGGAGCATAGAGAGGACGTGAGGAGAGCGAGAGTGAGAGGAGAGTGAGAAGAGAGCGAGGGTGAGAGGAGAGTGAGGGGAGAGGGAGGGTGAGAGTGAGAGCGAGGGTCAGAGTGAGAGTGAGTCAGAGTGAATGTGAGGTGTGAGGACCTCGTTTGCTGGTTTGAGGCGCCTCAAATCCAGTTTTGTTGTGTCCTGCAGTGCACTGCAGTGTTCCGTTCCTCCTCTCTTCTCTTTTCTGAGTGTGTTTTGAGAGACATCTCAAAACTCGCTCCCTTCTCTTGTGAGTTTCGAGAGACATCTCGAAACTCACTCACTCTTTCTCTCTCTTCCTTCTCACTGCAGCTTAGCTGAAGTGATCAAAAGCAGGGTTTTGGGAGATGTCTCAAAACTCTTTTGCATGTTCCTCACTGCAAGCGTTGCAGTGAGCAAATTGTACAGCTGGTCCTGAAGCAAGACTGGGCAGAAGACCGGGGCAGCAAGGACGGGCAGCAGTGGATTTGAGGAGGTGGAGCTTCAAGTGAGGCGCTTTGCCCCCTGGGGGGCAAAGGATCAACACAAGAGGAGCAGCGGGAGGTGGAGCGGCGCTTTCAAGTGAGGCGCTTTGACCCCCTGGGGGGCAAAGGATCAACACAAGAGGAGGAGCGGGAGGTGGAGCGGCGCCTTCAAGTGAGGCGCTTTGACCCCCTGGGGGGCAAAGGATCAACACAAGAGGAGCAGCGGGAGGTGGAGCGGCGCCTTCAAGTGAGGCGCTTTGACCCCCTGGGGGGCAAAGGATCAACACAAGAGCAGCAGCGGGAGGTGGAGCGGCGCCTTCAAGTGAGGCGCTTTGATCCCTTGGGGGGCAAAGGATCAACACAAGAGCAGCAGCGGGAGGTGGAGCGGCGCCTTCAAGTGAGGCGCTTTGACCCCCTGGGGGGCAAAGGATCAATACAAGAGGAGCAGCGGGAGGTGGAGTGGCGCCTTCAAGTGAGGCGCTTTGACCCCCTGGGGGGCAAAGGATCAACACAAGAGGAGGAGCAGCTTCAAGTGAGGCGTTTCCTTCCTCAGCCGGCAGGAGAAGGATGAGTTTTGTGTCGCCCCTCTCCTAGGTGCAGCAAGAACCGGGGCAACACTTAGAGCGAAGCAACTGCTGGTGGGGCAGCAGCTGAAAGGAGCAGCTTCAACTGAGGTGCCTACTTTGCCCCCTGGGGGGCAAAGGATAAGTTTTGTGCCACCCCTTCTCTAGGATCAGCAAGATCGGGGGAGGCAACACCACGGCGGGAACAACAGGGGGACGCAGCAGCTAGGACCTGTTGTAAGGTGCAGTCTTTTACATTCTATTTCTCGCTTTCTTGTTTCTTCTAATGCCTAATCTTGTATGGTGTGTGTCTTCCTGTTCTAGCTGCCAGCACGACATCAAGCCCCGAGATCCCCTCGGTACGTCGTCTCCTTCCATTCCTGCATGTTGTTTTCCCACTCGTACTAACGTCCATGTTTGCTGCTCCGTGTTTCAGACAGGGCCAAGACGCGAAGGCTCAACCCCCCCTCGGTACGTCGTCTCCTTCCATTCCTGCATGTTGTTTTCCCACTCGTAGTAACGTCCTTGTTTGCTGCTCCGTGTTTCAGACAGGGCCAAGACACGAAGGCTCAACCCCCCCTCGGTACGTCGTCTCCTTCCATTCCTGCATGTTGTTTTCCCACTCGTACTAACGTCCTTGTTTGCTGCTCCGTGTTTCAGACAGGGCCAAGACACGAAGGCTCAACCCCCCCTCGGTACGTCGTCTCCTTCCATTCCTGCATGCTGTTTTCCCACTCGTACTAATGTTCCTCGTTAGTCTGAGTTAGCAGAGCAGGAAGAGCGGAGGAGCAGAGAGGGAGCAGAGGAGGAGGAGAGGAGGAGGAGAGGAGGAGAGGAGGAGGTCAGGACATTGGAGAGGAGCAGAGGGGGAGCAAAGGATCAGGAGAGGAGGAGCCGAGGAGATGGGAGCAGCGGTGGAGTGACGGAGCAGAGGAGCCGAGGGATCACAGGAGGCGAAGGAGCAAGGAGCAGAGGGAAGGAGGGGGGATCCCCGGCCAGTGTCTGTGAGCATATTCTTTCCTGATCTCCGTATTATCGTTGCTCTGTTCGCTTGCCATCGATTCCGAATCAGTTTTTGGCTTTGGGTGCAATCGCTGGGTGCTTATAGACTCTTTCTTCTTTCCCTTTCCGCAGGAGATGCATCGGAGGGGACGGAGAAGCAGAGGAGCAGCCGGGGAGAGGAGGCGAGGAGAAAAGGAGGCGAAGGAGAAGAGGAGGCGAAGGAGTAGAGGAGGCGAAAGAGGCAAGGAGCAGCCGGGGAGAGGAGGCAAGGTGAAGGCGGATTCTGTGCCGTTGCCGCAGTGAGGATGGTTGTCTTGTTGTTCGCTTGGCGTCGATTTTGAATCACTTGTTGGCACTGGGTGCAATCACTGGGTGCTCATAGGCCTTTCCTTCCTTCGCATTCTGCAGGAGATGCATCGGAGGGGACAGAGCAGCGACATCAGAGGCAAAGGAGCAGAGGAGGCATAGGAGAATCCCCTGCCACTGCCGGTGAGGATCTCCTTTCCTGCTCTCACAATCAATGGTCGTCGCCTTCTTGGCTACGCATTTGTTCTCAATCACTTCTTGGCACTAGGTGCAATTGGTGCAATGAGCTCACAGACATTCTTTTCCCATTCTGCAGGATATGGAGCAGAGGATATGGAGTGCAATGAGGATATGGAGTGCAATGAGGATATGGAGTGCAATGAGGATATGGAGTGCAATGAGGATATGGAGTGCAATGAGGATATGGAGTGCAATGATGATATGCAGTGCAATGAGGATATGGAGTGCAATGAGGATATGGAGCTGCATCGAAGGAGAGGCAATTGAGGAGAGGCAAAGGAGCAGAGGAGCCGAAGGAGGGGAGGAGCAAGCAGCGGAGGAGGAGAGGAAATGCATCAGGGGAGTAGGAGCAGAGGAGATGCTTCAGAGGAGGAGGATCAGAGGAGATGCATCAGAGGAGGGTGAGCAGCTGAGGAGAGGGGGCGTGTGAAACATCGAAGGAGCAAAGGAACAGAGGAGGCAAAGGAGAATCCTCTGCCACTGCTGGTGAGGATCTCATTCACTGCGCATTTCCTGCTATTTAATTGGCCGTTGCATCATTCACTACGCATTTGTTCTCAGTCCAACCTTGCCAGTGGGTGCAACCACTGGGTGCAATTGGTGCAATGAGCTCACAGACTTTCCCTTCCCATTCCGCAGGACGTGGAGCAGAGGAGATGCATGCGAGGAGAAGGAGATGAAGCAGAGGTGGAGCAGAGGAGGTGGAGAAGCAGAGGAGTTGGCTCAGCAGAGGAGGAGACGAGGAGCAAAGGAGCGATGGAGCGAAGAAGCACCAGAGGAGACAGCGAAGCCGAGGAGACGGAGCAGCAGAGGAGAGGAAGGAGAGGCAAAGGAGATGATGGAGAAGAGGAAGGAGATGGAGCGTTGGAGAGACATGGAGCAGAGGGCACGGAGGAGAATGCACGGATGGGAGAAGGCCAAAGGAGCAGAGGAGCAGGGAGAACCGCACAGCTGCGCTTCCCCCCAACGCTGCTGGCCGCACGGAGGGGAGAAGGCATGGAGGGGAGAAGGTACGGAGGGGAGAAGGCATGGAGGGGAGAAGGCACGGAGGGGAGAAGGCATGGAGGGGAGAAGGCACACAGGCACGGAGGAGTAAGCTGCGAGTTGTTACTGCCTCCCGCGTGCTGCTGCTGGTGCTGTGAAGTGATGGGACGGCAGCTGCTACCTCCCTCGCTCCTACCTCCCTCCTGCGTGTTGCTGATGGTGCTGTGAAGTGATGGGACGGCGAGCAGAAGAGAGGCCCGCAGTGACATACTGGTTTCCGCAGCCGAGGCAGCAGAACGGAATGCAAGCAGTGGTAGCAGCAGTGGCAGCAGAAGGGAATGCAAGCAGTGGTAGCAGCAGTGGCAGCAGAAGGGAATGCAAGCAGTCGTAGCAGCAGTGGCAGCAGAAGGGAATGCAAGCAGTGGTAGCAGCAGTGGCAGCAGACGGGAATGCAAACAGTGGTACCAGCAGTGGCAGCAGAAGGGAATGCAAGCAGTGGTACCAGCAGTGGCAGCAGAAGGGAATGCAAACAGTGGTACCAGCAGTGGCAGCAGAAGGGAATGCAAACAGTGGTACCAGCAGTGGCAGCAGAAGGGAATGCAAACAGTGGTACCAGCAGTGACACCAGCAGTGACACCAGCAGTGGCAGCAGCAGTGGAGGGGAGTGGTGCTGCACTGGAGGGGAGTGGTGCAGAGGAGGAGCAGATGAGATGTATCAGGGGAGGAGGAGCAGAGGAGATGCATCAGAGGAGGAGGAGCAGAGGAGATGCATCAGAGGAGGAGGAGCAGCTGAGGAGAGGAGGCGTGCGAAAGTTTGAAGGAGCAAAGGAGCAGAGGAGGCAAAGGAGAATCCCCTGCCACTGCTGGTGAGGATCTCCTTTGCTGCTCTCGATTTAGGGAGCGATGGAGCGAACAAGCACGGAGGTGGAGTAAATATGTTTTGCCAATGGTTTTCCTCTTTTTTGCGTTAGCTTGTTTGTTCGTTCAGATGCATTGTTGTTGCTTTATTCGTTTTGCACTTGCGTTAGCTGGTTTGTTCGTTCTGATGCATGGTTGTTGCCTTTTTCGCTTTGCCTGGTGAAGCAGGTTGCAGGAAACACAGGTTTCAGGGAAGCAGAACAGGGGGTGAAGCAGGTTGCAGGGAACACAGGTTGCAGGGAAGCAGAACAGGGGGTGAAGCAGGTTGCAGGGAACACAGGTTGCAGCGAAGCAGAACATGGGGTGAAGCAGATTGCAGGGAACACAGGTTGCAGGGAAGCAGAACAGGGGGTGAAGCAGGTTGCAGAGAACACAGGTTGCAGGGAAGCAGAACAGGGGGTGAAGCAGGTTGCAGGGAACACAGGTTGCAGGGAACACAGGTTGCAGGGAACACAGGTTGCAGGGAACACATGTTGCAGGGAACACAGTTTGCAGGGAACACAGGTTGCAGGGAAGCAGAGTAGGACCTCGTTTGCTGGTTTGAGGCGCCTCAAATCCAGTTGTGAACTGCCGGTGGCAGTTCTGTTCTCTCTTGTGAGTTTCGAGAGACGTCTCGAAACTCACTCTCAAAACTCTCCCTCCTCACTGCAGTTTGCTCTGTGTTCTCTCTCCCCCCCCAACAGGGTCACGTATTGATTTCCACCTGCCTATCCTTTTGTGTTCTGTCTCCCCCCCCAACAGGGTCACATAATAATTTCCACTTGACCCTGGGCAGTATCCAGTATCCTTTTGTGTTCTGTCTGCCCCCCCAACAGGGTCTCATAATAATTTCCACCTGCCCCTGGGCAGTATCCAGTATCCTTTTGTGTTCTGTCTCCCCCCCCAACAGGGCCTCATAATAATTTCACCTGCCCCTGGGCACTATCCAGTATCCGTTTGTGTTCTGTCTCCCCCCCCAACAGAGTCACATATTAATTTTCACCTGCCCCTGGGCAGTATCCAGTATCCTTTTGTGTTCTGTCTCCCCCCCAACAGGGTCCCAAGCGATGGTTCCCACCTCACCGCGGTGCTTGGGTGTAACGTTGGGAGCTTGCTCCTGGCGGCCAAGAGGAACCCCCCATGCACACCTACAGTGCGTGGGTAGTACAATTGTACATTTAATTAATATATAATTCTGGATCATCACTAGGAACTTTGATTGGATAATTACCTTGTAACTGTTACTGCAATAGGTGTTGCTTTAGTTCAGGCATAAGTAGACAATTACCCTATGGACTAGCATGCTATTTTTTTTGTCAATTGATGCACCAGATGATGTGCATTTCCTGGTGTGACAGACAGAACCTCTTGAACAGAACCAGAGACAGAACAGAACCATACAGACAGAACCAGAGACAGAAGGTACACAACACAAACAGAGCCACATGAACAGCTACCCTAATTAGATTAGCAAATGGAACGTCTAAAAATATGGAAGATATTTGATATTGAGACCTCTCAACTGGATCATTACCGTAATCAATTTGTGCTCTAGTTTTCCTGCGAGACTATAGATTCTACTCTCCTGTTTCAAACGCGCCATTGTCGCTGCGAGACTTCCTTGCGATGGCTTTAGTAGATTTGAGCATCGCGCTGCGGCAGCTTCAATGTTAGTAGATTGGAATGTTTGTAGATTGGAATCCTATCAGGAGCTTTATACGGAGCTTCAAATCCTATAGCAAATATGCTCTGTGTTTATATTGCACTGGCCTTTCCACGAAACGCGCCGCGTAGTCACTAATATTGGCGCGGTCCTGATTTCAGTCACTAATATCGGTACTAGTAGCGAAATCGCTCCAATTTGGAAGGTTTATTAGAGGCTGTCCGTAAACGCCCCGCCATGCCTTGTCAGTGCTCATCTCCTCTCCGCGCAGATTCGCATAAAGCGGATTTTTCGCTAGTGTACAGATTCGCGCCGTAGTCGCCGCTCCGATAATGGCACGAGCTATCCTCGTTACAAGGATACACGATGACGGAACGGACGTCGGTGCGGACTCGTTACTAGAGTGCGACGCGGAAGCGGCTTACGCGGCGATGGCAGCGAGAAAGGGCGCCGCCGTCTGACTTGACGCTGCCAGAGAACAAATCCGTAAGATTCGGAACATCAACGTGCGACGCGCGATTCTCACTGCTTTTAGATGCGCAATATCAGATCTCGCTATGTTCAAACATATCACTGGCACACCGAATGCTAAACATCAGGAGCACGTGTTTTTCGGGTACCATGTGACCTCTTTTCCACGTTAGAAACACCACGCAAGTACCTCCCCCTCTCCCCCCTCTTCCTCCCCTCTCCCCTCCTCCCCCCCCCCCCCCCCCCCCAACCCCCCCCCCTCCCCACCTCTCCCCTCCTCCCCTCCGCTTCCTTTTCCCCCCCTTCATCATGCGCAGAATTCAACAGCACCTGACGCTACCTGCCGCTACCTCACACGCCGCGCCAGCGTCATGCACCGCTCCGCTGGCAGAAGTACCGGCAGGCTCACTGGTGCGTGCATGCTGTGCTTCCCCTGGTTGGTAGTGTGCCTCTGTTGGCGTGTGGCTTGCACTGCCGTGTCAGCTTCATGCACTGCCGTGTCAGCTTCATGCACTGCCGTGTCAGCTTCATGCACTGCCGTGTCAGCTTCATGCACTGCCGTGTCAGCTTCATGCACTGCCGTGTCAGCTTCATGCACTGCCGTGTCAGCTTCAGCTTCATGCACTGCCGTGTCAGCTTCATGCACTGCCGTGTCAGCTTCATGCACTGCCGTGTCAGCTTCATGCACTGCCGTGTCAGCTTCATGCACTGCCGTGTCAGCTTCATGCACTGCCGTGTCAGCTTCATGCACTGCCGTGTCAGCTTCATGCACTGCCGTGTCAGCTTCATGCACTGCCGTGTCAGCTTCATGCACTGCCGTGTCAGCTTCATGCACTGCCGTGTCAGCTTCATGCACTGCCGTGTCAGCTTCATGCACTGCCGTGTCAGCTTCATGCACTGCCGTGTCAGCTTCATGCACTGCCGTGTCAGCTTCATGCACTGCCGTGTCAGCTTCATGCACTGCCGTGTCAGCTTCATGCACTGCCGTGTCAGCTTCATGCACTGCCGTGTCAGCTTCATGCACTGCCGTGTCAGCTTCATGCACTGCCGTGTCAGCTTCATGCACTGCCGTGTCAGCTTCATGCACTGCCGTGTCAGCTTCATGCACTGCCGTGTCAGCTTCATGCACTGCCGTGTCAGCTTCATGCACTGCCGTGTCAGCTTCATGCACTGCCGTGTCAGCTTCATGCACTGCCGTGTCAGCTTCATGCACTGCCGTGTCAGCTTCATGCACTGCCGTGTCAGCTTCATGCACTGCCGTGTCAGCTTCATGCACTGCCGTGTCAGCTTCATGCACTGCCGTGTCAGCTTCATGCACTGCCGTGTCAGCTTCATGCACTGCCGTGTCAGCTTCATGCACTGCCGTGTCAGCTTCATGCACTGCCGTGTCAGCTTCATGCACTGCCGTGTCAGCTTCATGCACTGCCGTGTCAGCTTCATGCACTGCCGTGTCAGCTTCATGCACTGCCGTGTCAGCTTCATGCACTGCCGTGTCAGCTTCATGCACTGCCGTGTCAGCTTCATGCACTGCCGTGTCAGCTTCATGCACTGCCGTGTCAGCTTCATGCACTGCCGTGTCAGCTTCATGCACTGCCGTGTCAGCTTCATGCACTGCCGTGTCAGCTTCATGCACTGCCGTGTCAGCTTCATGCACTGCCGTGTCAGCTTCATGCACTGCCGTGTCAGCTTCATGCACTGCCGTGTCAGCTTCATGCACTGCCGTGTCAGCTTCATGCACTGCCGTGTCAGCTTCATGCACTGCCGTGTCAGCTTCATGCACTGCCGTGTCAGCTTCATGCACTGCCGTGTCAGCTTCATGCACTGCCGTGTCAGCTTCATGCACTGCCGTGTCAGCTTCATGCACTGCCGTGTCAGCTTCATGCACTGCCGTGTCAGCTTCATGCACTGCCGTGTCAGCTTCATGCACTGCCGTGTCAGCTTCATGCACTGCCGTGTCAGCTTCATGCACTGCCGTGTCAGCTTCATGCACTGCCGTGTCAGCTTCATGCACTGCCGTGTCAGCTTCATGCACTGCCGTGTCAGCTTCATGCACTGCCGTGTCAGCTTCATGCTTGCCGTGCCAGCTTCATGCACTGCCGTGTCAGCTTCATGCACTGCCGTGTCAGCTTCATGCACTGCCGTGTCAGCTTCATGCACTGCCGTGTCAGCTTCATGCACTGCCGTGTCAGCTTCATGCACTGCCGTGTCAGCTTCATGCACTGCCGTGTCAGCTTCATGCACTGCCGTGCCAGCTTCATGCACTGCCGTGTCAGCTTCATGCACTGCCGTGTCAGCTTCATGCACTGCCGTGTCAGCTTCATGCACTGCCGTGTCAGCTTCATGCACTGCCGTGTCAGCTTCATGTCCTTCCTCGGGCTGGTATTGTGACTCTCTTTTAGGTTTGGCATGCACTGCCCTAGAGATGTGGAATCCCTGTGGTTGTGGGAACCCTAGAGTTGAATACCTGTGGTGTACTGCTCACGTACGCATCACGCCAGCAGCATTTCTTATTATGTTGGGTTTGGACCATACATGTGCTGGCGCTTTGTGCTCATTCAATCCACTCTCTCGCCTCTTTCATTCCCGAGCCCTCCCTCTCTCCTCAACTATGTCCGCCAGCCATTCCCTCCTACAGCCGCTCTCTCTCTTTCCATCCACAGCACTGAACCTCCTCTATCCCCCACTCCTCCCCACTTCCCATCGTGTGCATGCAGTTCACAACCGGGTTTGAGGAGATGGAGATGGAGGTGGAAGGGGAGGGTATCGTGCTGGGCAAGCCAGTGTTGGGAGCGCAGGGGAGCGTATGAGTGGTGCCGCCAGACCTATATACAGATGCACACACGGTGGTGCATGGAGTGAATAAAATCAAGGTGCTTGACAGGTTACTCGACCTCCAATAGAAGGTCTTGTAATGGGGGACTTAGGAGGTATATCAAAGCAAATTATTTGAATTGAGAAAATAAGCCCCATTCTAGCTATACCCAAGTTAGCGCATGTTTTTATGCAAGTTGATATATCTAGTGGCAGATGTGTTACTAGTGAAACGGAATGTATGTTTTTATCAGCGACTTACGTCTACCTCTGTAACCGACTATATTTTCTCAACAAGAAATTTAAAACGCAGATGAAAGCTCCATCACGCCTGAATGATGAGTAACTTTGACAAGTGACTCAATTTGAATACGTCGTCTGACACCACCAGTTCAACTTTACCTCCTGATTGACACATGGTTATGGCGGTTCGGGCCATGACATCCACATCCACAGATTCTCGAGGCAGACATCTGATTGGTGGTAACAAACCATAACAGCTCAGATAGCTGTTTTGAGCCGTCAGATCATCCGCATCCACTGTGTGGCCGATCTCGCCCACACAAAATATTTTCGCCTTTCCCCGCCTTCGGCACAGCTTGTTGGCAGGCTTATCCGCGGATTCCAGCCATTTAGCGCAACTCGCCAGCGAACTTTGCAGCGGCTTGCGCCTCGGGCTTGCCGAAGCGGGGGACCCCCCCACCCCTCTCTTCGGCTTGGTGGACGGGAGGGCACTCCGCGTGGCGACTCGACTTGCCGCTCTTGCCGTTCAGCCGTATCCCTTTCACCTCTCTCTCTAACAATCACCCCACCTCACCTTGCCTCACCTCATCTCACCTTCCTGAAACCGTCTAACCTCTCTTTAACCTTTTTCACCTCTCTGAAATCCGTTTCACCGTACCGGACCTTGCTTTCCCGTTGTCCCAAATCTCGTCGCTGGTTCACCTCCACTGAATCCCCCTCAGGCATTCCCCATGCGGGGTTTGGTCTCAGAGAGGAATCTCCTTGCGTTAGCTCACTCAAATGATCCGCGAGTCCATGGCTTCCGCGGTTTGCTCTACCGTGGAGGTAACATCCGTGACGTGGTATCTTCCCGAAGCGCGTTAAGCTCAAGGTTTTTTAGGAGGATCATAGCAGATTCTCAGAGCCTAGCAAGGATTGTCAATTTCATCAACGCTAGTACATGATGTATCATTTCACGGTAGAAGGATGGGAGCAAAATCTTAGGCTTGGGAGGACCTTAGTGCGTAGTCAGAAGAATAGATTTCATCATTGCTAGACGCGACGTGGTGCGACAATGATCCTATCCTTTGACGCGTCGAAGTTTAAGAAGCCTTTGTACGGCGTTTTACCGTGCCATCATTTCAGCGCCATGCAACGTTTCAGACATCATCATTACGTTATCTTAACGATGCTACAGACGCTGCTACAGATGCTGTGACGTTCCAGCCATCGCTTCCGCTCGTGACGTCGCTACAAACGAGGAGGTGTCGCTCAAAGCTGTTATCTGTGCGACGCTTCAGCTCGCCTCGCTCGCGTATTTCTCAATCGGACGCTTAGCCGCTCACGAGAAGGTTGTCGCTGCGATTCGTCAACCCTCGTGTCGCTTCCAAATCTCGCAAACTTCGAGGCCTCTACTACTACGAATTTCTAAGGAAGGCACGGAGCGTTGCGGAGAGGATGTGACGTTCGACGTGCTACAGACGACGCTGACGGAGACATCCGACGCTGACGAAGTCTTGGCGCTGACGGAGAAATCCGACGCGGACGAGAACATCCGACGCTGACGAAGGAGCGGGGAGCACCGCGGAGAACAACTGGCGGATATGGAAGCAGCGCGAACCATCTCCTCGATGGCGGAGGAGCAGCTCGCGACGTCCGTACGAAGCTCGCGACGTCCGTATGAAGCTCGCGACGTCCGTACGAAGCTCGCGACGTCCCGTACGAAGCTCGCGAATGTCCCTGCTCGCGGCGTTCCCTGGACGCCGCTACTATTACGGAGTCTCGCCGCCAGACGGTTGTGGTGAGTTTTCACAGCAAAACGCACGATCGTTAGGGTAAACGTTTCATGACTGTTTTTTTGCTCGTATGATTCAATTTCATGACGTATCTAGCATCTCCAGTTGCTATTATTCTCTTGCTGATCACGTTTCGTTACCATTCAAGCTGCGCATTTCACTCGCCGCACATTAAACTGTTCGTGCAGGAGCGGAGGCTATTTGAGCTTGTCTCTCGACAAGGTCTGGAGCGGTGCTGATGCGTCAGTGCGTCTGAAGATGCTGACTACGTTGGTGCATCTGAAGGACGGACGCTTCTTGAGCTGCCGCGAGAGGAGATGGCTGACTGGCGTTGGTGCTGGCGGGAGGAGATTGCGTGGCGAGGCGGAGCGGTGCTGACGGGAGGAGATGGCTGACTCGTGCCGAGCCAAGGCGGAGCGGTGGTGCTGCTCTGCTCTTCTCTTCTCCAATTGCTAACACCTGTCAACATCCGGCTAATTCCCTCTGGCCCTCCTCTTCCCCAATTGCTCCTGACACGTTCCCTGCCTCCCATTCCTCCTCTCTTCTCCTCCTCCTCCTCCTCCTCCTCCTCCTCCTCCTCCTCCTCCTCCTCCTCCTCCTCCTCCTCCTCCTCCTCCTCCTCATCCTCCCTTTTCTCCTTCTCCTTCTCCTCCTCCTCCTCTGTCGTTGCTGGTTGAGGCGATACCCATCGGGTCACAGACCATCTCCCCCACTGCCGGTATTCTCCCAAAACTTCTACTGCGGTAAACACCCCCCCCCCCCTTGGGTACTTCGGGCAACGGCCCCAGTGTAAGTGCATGCGGTTAACCCTTGGGTACTTCAAAGCCCCCAACGTAAGTGCATCGGGGCAAACTCTTCAGTACTTCGGGGTAAATGCCCTCAGTGTAAGTGCATCCGAGCAACCCTTTGGGTCTGTGGCTTGTGGGAGTAGCCTCGCCAGTAACGGCCCTCCCACCTCCTCCTCTTCTTCCTGCTTTCTCCCTCCTCCTCTCCCCTTCCTTCCTTCGCTCCTCCCTTCCCTCCTCCTCCTCCTCCTCCTCCTCCTCCTCCTCCTCCTCCTCCTCCTCCTCCTCCTCCTCCTCCTCCTCCCCCTCCTCTATTCCTCCCTCCTCATTCGCATTTGTTGTCGTTTTCATTTACCCTTGCGTTGTGTCGTACTTTTCTTTGTGTCAACTTGACCTCTACCCAGCAACTAACCTTCACTGTGGGATTGCAACTCTCTATACGTTGTTCAGGGAACGGCAAGGTGTGGGTGGGGAGACAGAGCAGCAGTAACAGGGTCAGACTCCACGGAGGCAGCAAGGACAGGAGCAGCAGCGACAGGAGAAGAAAGTAAGTAGCTGGAGCAGTGACAAAACACCCCCTCCTTGGATTCGTTCTACCTCACTCTGTCACTCTGTTGACTCGCAATCTCCACTCTGATTAACTTTCCACTCCTGTTAACCTCCACTCTGTCACTCTGTCGTGCGATTGCAACTCTCTGGTCGCTGTGCAGGGAACGTTGAGGCGTGGGAGTGGTAGCCAGTCAACGGGTGTGAACGCGAAGTCAACGCCATCTGCTGCAGCAGGGGAGAGAGGAGACAGCTGGACTGGCATCAACTGCAGCAGGGGAGAGAGGAGACAGCTGGACTGGCATCAGCTGCAGCAGGGGAGAGAGGAGACAGCTGGACTGGCATCAGCTGCAGCAGGGGAGAGAGGAGACACGTGGACTGGCATCAGCTGCAGCAGTGGAGACAGCGAGGCAGCTGGTGCGTTCGAGGTGGAGCGGTAGCGGCAGTGGCAGGCAGCAGCACGGCAGTAGCAGCAGCTAAGGCAGCAGCAGCGGCAATAGCAGGAGCGGCAGCGGCAGCAGGAAAGGCAGCTGCAGCGGCAGCAGTGGGACCATCACCAACACAGCAACTCCAGAGAGGAGCAGAAGCGTCGAATCTTCTCGTTGCTGGTAATCTCCTTCCTTGCTCCTTTAGTTTGTTTGCCTTGGTTCTGTTTGCAGTGTTTCTGTTTGCCTTCAATCTGTCTGCCTTTAACTCTGTCTTCCGTAGTCTAATCTGTTTACCTCGTCCCTGTGTGCCCGTCCAGAAACGTGGAGGAGAGGAGGGAGGCAGCAAAGGAGACAGCAGAGGAGGAGAGGAGGAGCCGAGGATAAGAGGAGCACTGGAGGGTTCATGCCAGCACTCGCTGCGGCGACTCCAGAGAGGAGCAGAAGCGTCGCCCCTGCTCTTTGCTGGTAATCTCATCTCTTGCCTTATTTCTTAGTTCTGTTTGCATCGTTTCTGTTTTCCTTTCCTCCGTCTGCTTGATTCTGTTTTTTCCGCATTTCTGTTCTCCTTATTCTCTTTACCATGTCCTGTGTGCCCTGTCAGAGCAGAACGTGGAGCAGAGGAGGAGCAGAGGAGCCAACAAAGGAGAACTGGAGCCAGCAGAGGAGCCGCAGAGGAGCAGAGCAGCATAGGAGCACTGGCGTGGAGGCACCAGGCGCAGAGGCACCAGGCGTAGAGGCAGCAGGCCCGCAGAGGCAGCAGGCCCGCAGAGGCAGCAGGCCCGCAGTGGCAGCAGCGACTCGGGTGGACGGGAGCGGTGGGATGACGCACGGCCGGCAGCCACTGGCGTGTGGCTGCCTCCTACCCGCCCTGCTGACCACCCGCTCTGCTCGAGGAGCACTGGAGCGGTCACCGTCAAGGCATCCATCAAGGCATCACTGGCATGGCATGGCATCTCGTGGCGTGGCGTGGGCTAACCGATTTTGGACTTTTGCCTCCAGCAGCAGCAACTGGGAAGTCGCTTTCCCGTCGTTTCTTTCCCCTCGCCTTCCGTTTTCGTCACCCGTCGATTCCATTCATTTCATCGTTCCGTGTTTTGCATCTCGTCTTGCATTGCATTTCACGTTTTTGCACCGTCCCTCTGATACGTTCGGCTGCAGCTTAGTAGATGATCCTCCGCGGGTTTGGGTAGCATAGAGTCCGGGTTGGGTAGATAGAACGGCACAGTCAACAGCTCTCCTCCCTCTGCTAGCTGCAGCCGACGTATCAGAGAAGACCAGCAGTGACACCAGCGGTGGCAGCAGCGGTGGGAAGGAGAGAGGTCCGCAATGACACGACAGATGACAGCAGCAGTGGGTGGCAGCAGAAGAGTAAACCAGCAGTGACACCAGCGGTGGCAGCGGCGGTGGGAGAAGGAGAGAGGTCCGCAATGACACTACAGCTGACAGCAGCAGTGGGTGGCAGCAGAAGAGTAGACCAGCAGTGACACCAGCGGTGGCAGCAGCGGTGGGAGAAGGAGAGAGGCCGGCAATGACACGACAGCTGACAGCAGCAGTGGCTGGCAGCAGAAGAGAAGACCAGCAGTGACACCAGCGGTAGCAGCGGCGGCGGGAGAAGGAGAGAGGTCCGCAATGACACTACAGCTGACAGCATCAGTGGCTGGCAGCAGAAGAGAAGACGAGCAGTGACACCAGCGGTGGCAGCAGCGGTGGGAGAAGGAGAGAGGTCCGCAATGACACGACAGCTGACAGCAGCAGTGGGTGGCAGCAGAAGAGAAGACGAGCAGTGACACCAGCGGTGGCAGCAGCGGTGGGAGAAGGAGAGAGGCCCGCAATGACACGACAGCTGACAGCAGCAGTGGCTGGCAGCAGAAGAGAAGACCAGCAGTGACACCAGCGGTGGCAGCAGCGGTTGGAGAAGGAGAGAGGCCCGCAATGACACTACAGCTGACAGCAGCAGTGGTTGGCAGCAGAAGAGAAGACCAGCAGTGACACAAGCGGTGGCAGCAGTAGGGAAGGCTAGCAGTGGGAGCAGATGCTAGCAGCGAAGGCTAGCAGAGGGAGCAGTTGCTGCTCAAAACTCTGCAAATGGTGAGTTTTGAGAGACGTCTCAAAACTCACACTTGTTGTGGGCTGCGGTTGTTGTTCTTGCTTTCTCTTGTTGGGCACTTCAAGTGAGGCGCTTTGACCCCCTGGGGGGCAAAGGATCAACACAAGAGGAGCAGCGGGAGGTGGAGCGGCGCCTTCAAGTGAGGCGCTTTGACCCCCTGGGGGGCAAAGGATCAACACAAGAGGAGCAGCGGGAGGTGGAGCGGCGCCTTCAAGTGAGGCGCTTTGACCCCCTGGGGGGCAAAGGATCAACACAAGAGGAGCAGCGGGAGGTGGAGCGGCGCCTTCAAGTGAGGCGCTTTGACCCCCTGGGGGGCAAAGGATCAACACAAGAGGAGCAGCGGGAGGTGGAGCGGCGCCTTCAAGTGAGGCGCTTTGACCCCCTGGGGGGCAAAGGATCAACACAAGAGGAGCAGCGAGAGGTGGAGCGGCGCCTTCAAGTGAGGCGCTTTGACCCCCTGGGGGGCAAAGGATCAACACAAGAGGAGCAGCGGGAGGTGGAGCGGCGCCTTCAAGTGAGGCGCTTTGACCCCCTGGGGGGCAAAGGATCAACACGAGAGGAGCAGCGGGAGGTGGAGCGGCGCCTTCAAGTGAGGCGCTTTGACCCCCTGGGGAGCAAAGGATCAACACAAGAGGAGCAGCGGGAGGTGGAGCGGCGCCTTCAAGTGAGGCGCTTTGACCCCCTGGGGGGCAAAGGATCAACACGAGAGGAGCAGCGGGAGGTGGAGCGGCGCCTTCAAGTGAGGCGCTTTGACCCCCTGGGGGGCAAAGGATCAACACAAGAGGAGGAGCAGCTTCAAGTGAGGCGTTTCCTTCCTCAGCCGGCAGGAGAAGGATGAGTTTTGTGTCGCCCCTCTCCTAGGTGCAGCAAGAACCGGGGCAACACTTAGAGCGAAGCAACTGCTGGTGGGGCAGCAGCTGGAAGGAGCAGCTTCAACTGAGGTGCCTACTTTGCCCCCTGGGGGGCAAAGGATAAGTTTTGTGCCGCCCCTTCTCTAGGATCAGCAAGAACGGGGGAGGCAACACCACGGCGGGAACAACAGGGGGACGCAGCAGCTAGGACCTGTTGTAAGATGCAGTCTTTTACATTCTGTTTCTCGCTTTCTTGTTTCTTCTAATGCCTAATCTTGTATGGTGTGTGTCTTCCTGTTCTAGCTGCCAGCACGACATCAAGCCTCGACCTCCCCTCGGTACGTCGTCTCCTTCCATTCCTGCATGCTGTTTTCCCACTCGTACTAACGTCCTTGTTTGCTGCTCAATGTTTCAGACAGGGCCAAGACACGAAGGCTCAACCCCCCCTCGGTACGTCGTCTCCTTCCATTCCTGCATGTTGTTTTCCCACTCGTACTAACGTCCTTGTTTGCTGCTCCGTGTTTCAGACAGGGCCAAGACACGGAGGCTCAACCCCCCCTCGGTACGTCGTCTCCTTCCATTCCTGCATGCTGTTTTCCCACTCGTACTAACGTCCTTGTTTGCTGCTCCGTGTTTCAGACAGGGCCAAGACACGGAGGCTCAACCCCCCCTCGGTACGTCGTCTCCTTCCATTCCTGCATGATGTTTTCCCACTCGTACTAACGTCCTTGTTTGCTGCTCCGTGTTTCAGACAGGGCCAAGACACGGAGGCTCAACCCCCCCTCGGTACGTCGTCTCCTTCCATTCCTGCATGCTGTTTTCCCACTCGTACTAACGTCCTTGTTTGCTGCTCCGTGTTTCAGACAGGGCCAAGACACGAAGGCTCAACCCCCCCTCGGTACGTCGTCTCCTTCCATTCCTGCATGCTGTTTTCCCACTCGTACTAACGTCCTTGTTTGCTGCTCCGTGTTTCAGACAGGGCCAAGACACGGAGGCTCAACCCCCCCTCGGTACGTCGTCTCCTTCCATTCCTGCATGATGTTTACCCACTCGTACTAACGTCCTTGTTTGCTGCTCCGTGTTTCAGACAGGGCCAAGACACGAAGGCTCAACCCCCCCTTGGTACGTCGTCTCCTTCCATTCCTGCATGCTGTTTTCCCACTCGTACTAACGTCCTTGTTTGCTGCTCCGTGTTTCAGACAGGGTCAAGACACGAAGGCTCAACCCCCCCTCGGTACGTCGTCTCCTTCCATTCCTGCATGTTGTTTTCCCACTCGTACTAACGTCCTTGTTTGCTGCTCCGTGTTTCAGACAGGGCCAAGACACGAAGGCTCAACCCCCCCTCGGTACGTCGTCTCCTTCCATTCCTGCATGTTGTTTTCCCACTCGTACTAATGTTCCTCGTTTGTCTGATTTAGC